TGCGAGCCCCAGTTTGGAAAGCCTTCTGCAGCTCCGCGCCTGTCCTCCATCGCCTGCTCCTGGCTGTCGTGCTTAGGCCTTAGGTCTCTGATGCTCTAGCTGTGGAAAGAGGGACCAGGCAGGAAGCAAAGAGAACCGAAGGGGCACCAGAAGGAGCTAGAGGCGAACGAGGGAAAAGGGAAGAGCAACCAGCGAGAATCACAAACCACGAACGTCATCCGATTCCAAAGGATGGGGAATTGATCAGCTTGGGTTGTCACCATCAGTTTGTCACCCTGAGGCTCCTTTGGCGGCCGACCCTGATACAAGGAAGGGGCTTGCAGGACACTCCCTGATCAATGCAGCCAAAGAGCAGGGCGGTCTCGTTGTCCGATTTGATTGCTGTGTCTGTGGAATTGGCTGCAGAAGCTTTAGTGGAGCTGCTGGTCGGCAGCAGTGGCTTTTCCGCTGTGGCGTTGCTTGCCGCTTTGGCTGCACTTTCTGTTGCATTGCCTGCTACAGTTGCTTCGCTTTTGGCCGCACTTTCTGATGCATTGGCTGCTGCAGCTGCTTCTGGAACTTCTGCAGCGTCGCTTTTGGATGCACTTTCCGTTGCATTGGCTGCAGTTGCATCAGACACTTCTATAGTGTCGCTCTTGGCTGTAGCTTTTGCATCGCCTTCGGGCGTGGCTGCAGCTTTCGCAGTGCTGTCTGCCACTGTTGCTTCAGCCGCCGCTTTTGTGGCATTGCTCTTTGGCCCGGTGGCTGCTGTGTCGTTGCCCGTAACCTCAAAAGCAGGCGTGCCATGATTCGGACAACGGCAGGCTAACAGCCCCAGAAAGTCATGGTCTGGCAAAAAAGAGCTTAAGGGAGTACACACTGGTCCATCCACAAATCAGGACAGAACCACCATGACCTAGGTTGCGTTAATAAGCAACATGACACTGTCTTGTTCAAGCCATGGTTCCATGCCCACAGTAGGCATGACAGTGAGGCTGCTCTGTTAGCCGTGGTGTCGACTGCGAGGCTTGATGCTGGTTCTCATACTAGGGATCCTTGTCGGCTGCCTGAAATCCATGAGTGTCCAGCCAGATTCGGTTAGACAAAAGGCCGAGGGATGGCAAAGGGTGCCCTTTGTCCACCACATGATCATGGTCTCAAGGGCAGCTATTGGCAAAGGGCCCCAAAGATTGTTGGTGTGGCATGGGGCGGTTTGTTCGTGAAAACATCAAAAAGGCATTGTGATCAGCGAGTGGTATGGGCGGGCCTTGAGCGCCCGGCATTCAGCGCCAGCGGCGCTTCTCGCTTCACTCGGCGGCTCCGGCTGAGGCCGGTCTGGGCGGGCAGCACTTGCCACAAATTGGGACAAGATCCCCCGCGAAAGGTTCTTGTTTTGTTCAGGTCGATCCAACACATTGCGGTATGCGTGTTCATTGTTCCTCACCAAGATGCGATCAAGGCATATCGGGAGAAGAAAAAAAGCGCTCCAAGCAAAGCTCGAATCCGAGAGACCACCCTGCCTGCATCAACACAGTGGCCTCATGCTGGTCAAAGCTCACCGCGGCCTTGGCAGGGCGGTGACTCGGTTTCCTCCCACCCCAAGGGACCAAGTTTCCAGCCTAGGTGTTTCTTGTTGAGAGAAAAACTGGCACTGGGTTGCAGACAACTGAAACCAGCGCAATCCAGCGTTGTTCAACCAAACTGACTTTGGAGGGCGCCTATCCTGGCCGCTCTGGCACTGCCTGCATCTGCTGCTTTGAAGCTTTGAATCTGTGTACGAACAACAAGTTTGGCTGTTAAGAAGACGTCTCGTAGCTCTGTTGATTTCCATGCCTCATGAAACATCAAAGCTCAAATGAAGCAGTAGCAAACGTGTCTGTGACCAAGGGTACCATGCACTTGTCACACGGCTAAGCCATGGTTTACCTTGTAGCGGGACAAAGGGCAACTGGAAGACTGCGAAGCCGAATCCTCAGCCCCATGCCGCCAATGTCCACAGCGGCACTAGCTCGAGGCGCATGGGGACGTGGGCGACGCCACCTGTCGAAACTCTTTGCACGGCCACGGTTTGCTGAATAACCCTTCAAAGTTGTCCTGGGCATTTCCTGAAGGATCCAGGAGCATCCCTGACAATAGGGACCTAGAAGGACCAGGGAAGAGAATAGACTGAGGTCGACCTTCACAAGAAACAGCAGGAGCTAACCAGCCCCTTTGAGTCAGGATCTGATGTACAAAAGTACATCGGCCACCATTTGATCCATCTCAGAAACGATGCAAGGAAGCCCTCCCTTTGCCTGTCTTCAACTGATTACCCCACAGGTTTTTCCCGGAGCCCTATTTGCCCCCCTTTCCCACCGCGCCTCCCTGTCGTCCCGGCGAGGAATTGTTCAATCCCGGATCGCGGCGAGGGTACTGCCGGCGAGCCCTTCTAGGCTGCAGCACTAGCTCTCGGCCAAAGTTCATGGTTCTTGTCAGGACCTACCACGCGAATGAGCGTTTTCGGAGAGCAAAACCCCCTTTTGGTTGGTTCCAAAGGGAAGCCGCAAGCCATTTTGGGATTTCGCCATCTGGAGACACCTCCATATTACTGAAAGAGCCTCTGACATTCGGCGCATAAGCTGAACTACAGTTGATTCTCTCACCAAGTGGAGCAACTTCAAAGTCTCGGGAGAAAGACATTCAATATGTTGGTTCATCACCAGCAATAGCTGAAGAAAAAAGGTCGTATTGACGGGTTATAGATCCGAGGCAAGATATGGTTGACCAGAAAACATGCAAGGCAGCAAGGCAGCACCTGTGACCAACAGCCAACCAGGCGGGGCCAAGCCAAAAAAACAGCTGTAGGACTCACCGCTCCCCAGTTGCGGACCGTCCCCAGATTGCTTCTGCGTGATGTTAGACCCTTCTTTTCTGCACCGGCTTCCTATTATCAGACATGTACGGAATCCTGGCCTGCATGTTCTGGACACAGGGTCAATCGCTTGTGGACGGACACATTCCCGTTTACACATCAAACGTGGTGTTTGCAGTTGGCATCAAAACTGAAAGGAAACACCGAACCAACGAGTTGGCTTCTTGTATGCAACGTTTCTGCTCCCCCCCCCCTCCGGCGCGCGCGCCCACTGTTCCTTTCCGTTTCCAACCCCCTGAAAAACCGTCAAAACACAGACATCGCCGCATCGACTTTTCTCTGGACAGTGCCGCACGCACCAGGTCCACTGCGTGAATAGCAGCCAGGGCGGCCAGGCGGGCTGGCAAGAGGCTGGCCGATTGGACCCAGACCGGTCAGGCGTCAAGCCATCAACGGCTTGAAAGCTTGGTGCACTTCGCCTTCTTGGGGTTTGAGCTTACTCCCAAATAGGGATGAAGCAGTGAGAGATGCCAAAGAGAGGGACCTTCATCAGGGGCGAGGTCTTTGATCGCTGCATCTTGTGTTTATCAAGAAATTCCTGAAGCAGCAACGTGGGTCTCATTGGGCACTTCAACGGTTATGCACAACAAAAGGGTCACGCAAAGAAGAAGACTAGCTGGCAGCTACCCACCTCGTATGCCAGCCAAAGAAGACTGTCAAGATGTCAACATCAGTTCACAGCCCGTGTATCCTCCGCGGCTCCAAGAACGTATCCATTCGATCTAAACGCCGTGTCGACCGTAAGCAAGAAAGCAAGCAAAGCCAGCAAGCCAGCCAAGCAAAACAGCCAGCTGGCACGCATACAGGCAAGCAAGCACCCTCCTTACACCAGAACCGCCCAGGCCAATGACAAAACACAAGGTTCGGCGAAACACTTCACGCACCGGGTTCTTCTCAATGAAGCTGCGAAACGCACGCTCTTCCCCATGAACAGAAATTGCGACGCCTCACTCGTGCCTTGCCTTTTTTGCCAACCCTCGGAGGCGTGCCACGCTCGCAGCGCCGCTTGGCCCCGTGGCACGCCCCTGCCACGCTCTTGCCTGGGGGCCCATGCCGACCGGAAACGGGCAGAGCGCGGGTCATGGGAAAGGCTCAAACAGGCAGCTGTCAGGAAGCTGGCTTAACCGGAGTCCAAACGAACAGGACTCCTGTCTGTTCCCTGAGCCTCCCCACCCTGAGGGCTCCCATGTGGGCTTGAAACCCAACACAGCAAAGCTCGTGCTGTGTAGCGCCCGCATAACGGATGGAAACGCCCCATGCGCCGCAAGCAGCCCATGGCACTAAAAGTGATGCTCGTGGCATACGCATGAGCACTCGGATTGGGTGTGTCCCTGTGCGAATCAATTTGGCATTGTCAAAGCGAACCAGTGCATTGTCCAACGCCTCAAACATGTCTCGAAAAACATCACTCAGCTTGCCAAATGTTGCTGACATTCTTTGGGCTAAAACTGCCTCTGGGACATGTGCATTCTTCCCTGGGCACAGCTGAAACTCTTGCAGTCTCTGAACATTGCCAGCTTTCACTGGCGGAGAGAGATCTGGGAAATCAATGCATAAAGCAAGTTGCCAAAGCTGGACCCAAACTGTGACGATTCTAAGAATAGCAGGCTCTCAGGATAATGGGAACATTGAGATTCAGCCCGGTAAGGAGTCAGCTAATCAGTCTCTGGCGGTTTCAACTGTCATTCAGAACTGTTGGGAAACCCACCTGTGTGAGCCTGCTTGAGGTTGATTCCTTACTCATTTCATCCATCCTGCTTTCCCAAAACTAGCAGCTTGCCTCCGGGGGAATCGAACAAAATCGACCTGAAGTGTGACGAGTTCCGACCCAAAACCGAAGTCCGAAAGCACGCCTTCAAGTGCCAGAAAGGCCCCGAACTTGCTCTGGCGGTGCCCAAAGCAAACAGGCGGTGCCCAAAGCAAATCACACCCTTGGAGCGGAAACTCAAACTGACAGTAACTCGCAATAGGCATGGGTTTGGGTGGTTTCCTGATTGCTTCTGTTTCAGGAAGCACCGACAACAGAGTTCCCCAATTTCAGACATATGAGACATGTCCTGTTGACACGCGGTCAACGTGGCACAAGAAATTGAAAAAGAAAGCCATGGAGGTGGCGGTAACAGTGTCGCCTCCTTGCCACTCATGCAACTTTTTGGCAACTTGCAACGACAGTATTAACAAACCATTCGGTGGGTCTTCACAGCGTCCAGGTTTCCATCCTCAGAAAGGCCAAGAACGCGGAGAGGTTTGGGAAGTAAGAGCCTGAGGCGCCTCATACCTGGATCCAAGATCCACGATTTCCCCAGACTCTCCAGAGAAATCTTGGATCTTGGATCTTGGACCCGGGTACTTCGGCGCCTCAGGCGCCTCAGACGCCTGAAGCGCCTGGGGCTACATTTCATTTCTGATTGGAACACATACTATATATAATAGTCATAACACGTTGAGTATATAATATATGTGTATGTTGCATTGTTAGCTGAATATGATTAGCGGTTGTTGCATTAGCATGCTTTCGTTTATCAAACAATAATTTGCTTGATAGGTGTAAGGGTATTGATATTTGTGGTGGTGGGTAGGTTATTTAAAAAGTCACATGCATATACACATATATCAGTCATAAGGACAGCAATGGTGTTGTTTTTAAGGTTAACAAATATATTTTGTGTATTATAATATATGGATTTAAATATGTGCAAAAACATCCTGCTGATGGTAGAAGTCTAAACAAACTTAATGCTTACAAGACATAGCATACTTGTAGAAGTAGTGTACTGCTGCAGTGTGTGCCAAATGCAATATGATTTCACTAAACGAGTTTCATACTATACTTACCTGTGTTCTACAAGGAGTTAAACAAGTTTTCTAGTTTGTTGTTGAATACGCAACCTTTATCATGTTGTTATGATATGTCTAATAGTGCGTTACTGATATTGTAAATACTAGTACTATGTTGCAAGACCCGCCATGGGGCTTGTGTTATTGCAACAAAGCACACCGACGCACTATACTCAGGCAGTTAAACAATGATTCATAACCCAAACTTCGAGACGAGACAATCCCCCTCCAAAAAAGAAAGGCGCAAAGAAAACGAGAGAACACTTTAAGAAACCAGAAGCAACCAAGTAAACTAGGGACATGATTAGTATCTCGGTTTTGTGTTTTATTTTTGTTGGGTTCAGGGGATACTAGTCAACTATTAGGAAAATACTTGGATAATACTAGAAGAATATTAGAGTATGTCAAGAAAATGCTAAGGCCTAAGGAATACTAGACCTACTGAGAAGTTTGGGAGAATACTATGGATCTGCTAAGAAAGTGCTAAGGAATACTAGGACAAACATTTGGGTGGTAAGGTACTAATAAAGGAATAGAGGAATATTACGGGATATATTCGGGACAATTCAGGGAATGCTGGGGAAGTATTAAGGGTAAACACTAGCAAAATAGTTGGGTATCTTGGAAGGGTGCTAAGGGAACACTAGGAATCAGAGAATACTAAAGGAATAGGGAATTCGAAGGGAATATTAAGGAAACAATCGGGGTTTATCAGGGAACACTCAAGGAATTCTAGGAAAACACCGAGAGGCTAATAGGGAAATACTAGGAGAATACTAGGGGAATACTGGAGCACCACCTAGCAAATAATAGCTCTGTCCATCTGGAACTGCCCACATAACAAACGTCCATCTGTAAATGTACCTTGAAAAATGTTAAACAGTGGACCTCTGGGGGGGGGGGGGGGGGGCGCGGGGAAGCAAATATATATATATATATATATATATATAGATACACATAAAGATTCACGCTTCGCCTCCTGTCGGCACTGCAAGATTATGTTTATTTAAGTTGAACCACTTTAACAGAATCAAATATAACCACACCATCCGTTTTGGGACAAAACTCCATGTCCCAAGTACCCCCAGGACGTCCCTGCCACACCATATATGTATACATAAAATATATGTGTGTGTGTGTCCGTGCGTTTGTGTGACACAGCCCCGTGCACTACACATGTGGTAACGTATATAGATATGTGTATGCAAGCTAACCAAACGGCACCACACACAAGCACGCGATAACTCTTTTATCCGAGCAGTGTGTTGGTGCCAGGACTCATCTTCCCCTGTCAGATGACAAAGGCTGGGTGGGCCCCATGGGCCACCCAACTCACAATCTCAAAAACTGAAGAACGGGTGTGCAGACTGATAGCGCCCGCCCCTGAGCCGGGGCCCGTGGCACCCAGGCCACAGGGGGGTCTGCCACCAGGGGAAGTGAGTCGCCCACCGGCTCCGGTCACGGGAGCATGGGTGGGCCCACGCTAAGATCAAATGCATCTCCATTCAGGAGACGCGGGAGAAAAACGAACTCCTCGCAGAGTTCCTGCTTGGGGACCCTTTGCAAAGGGTCGAACCCAGAGAAATCTGGGTGCGTCAGCTCATCAGCCCATTGATTGAATTCACGGGGCACGTGGTTGGCCGCCAGCGAGCAGCCATGGGTGTGGAGCAGGAAGACCAGCTCCATCAGGATCGCCGCCGTGTAGGGCTTCTTGGATCCAAGGTTGAGCATCGCCATGACGTTGCCCTGATTGTCACTGCCCACCGGGAGTCGGACCCGGGAGGACAGAGGGCCTTGGTGCGTGAGGATCATGTTACAGAGGAAGAGCGTGCCCAGCATCTCCAGAGCCGCAATCCTCCGCTTGGGATCCCCATTCTTGAAAGCCCAAGGGTACTCCTCCACGTGGATCTGCTCGTGGAACCAGTACACCTCCTTCTTTTCCGGCTCCACTTTGTTGGAGCACCAACCTCCCACAAATGCCAGTCCTTCGTCCGAGGCGCTAGCATCGCTGCAACCCCACCAAGAGGACTTCGGCAAGTAAGGGGAGTACTGGACGAAAGGCGTGTTGAAGAGGAACCGCAGCATGAACGCCAGCATCCTGACCACCTTGGGGGGTTTCCCCACCGTGGTGGTGGCCATCTTCCAGGCCCAAAGTGGCTGGAGCATCGACTTCGCCAGCGGACATGCAGCCGTCGCCCATTGGATGCGACCCAGGGCCTTCTCGATGTCCTTTGAGTGCATCGCCTGCCCTTCCACCATGGTCTGCAAAACCTCCATAACCAGGATGTGTTTGTTGGCTGCCATGAGAACCTGCGGGATGTTCGGGTGGACCACGAAACCCAGCCACGTGTTAACCTCCGCCAAATGCGTCTTCTTCCAGCTAAGCGGGGTGCCCAAGGCCAGGAGTGTTGCCAGCAGCGCCACCGCCAAGTTTACTGCCCCCTCGCTTCGAAGCAGCCACAGGAAGTCATCGACAAAGACGAAGTTCCAATCCACTTGAGGGAAAAGTGCGTATAGGACCCTGAGTAGAAGGGCTACCGAGGCCACCCAGGTAGTCCACCAGGGGATTCCCGTGAAGCTGTACTTCGGAGCAATCAAGGGGACCGGGTTGCGGTTGATTCGTGCTGCAGAGACCGTCTTGGTCTGCCAGGCCTTCAGCTCCACAGTGTTGCTGGTGTGGATAAGGTCCTTGGGGTGAACGTGCTGGAGGTCATTGAAGCGAGCGCTGCAACCAACCTGGAACCGGGCGAAACCCAGGATGAAAGCGTCCAGCACCTCGTGTCTGCTCCCCGGGGCCTCCTGCGTGCCGGGGCCGGTGGCACAGCAATCGTAGCCGGCCCCTCCTCCAGAGCCCAAATGAACCACCGCCTTACGCTGTGGCCTGGTGACCGTGTCCGTGAGCGCCTCTTCCAATGAGCTCTTCTTGGACTTGAGGCGATGGAGCTCATCTATCTTCAGCAATCCGAAGGTCTTTGAGAACCACTTGAGGGTGTTCCACACCTGCCGCAACTTACACGGGGTGACCTCCTCATCGGCGAGCTGGTTGAGGAGAGAGCGGACATGTCGTTCCTGCCAAGGAATGACGGTGAAGCCTCTCTTGCGGAGACTCTCGTAGACCAGGCAATGTTGCCTGAGCGTCCGGAACCTGCTGTCCCCCAAGAGGTCCAATGCCTCCTTGCGGAAGTCCTCCCCCAGGATGTCCTGCATGTATGCAATGTGCTCCGCAAAGGGGGCGAAGTGGGCAAGGAGCCGTTCCGCCCATTTCCCGCGCATATGGAGTTCCAGCGCTCTCTGGGTCGTGGGCTCCATTTCCCTGCTTCCCGGGCCGCCAGTGCCTCCACTTCAGAAGCTCCGGCTGTTGGAGTGGGGGCGGGTCATCTCGCGAGAACCACCTCAGTTGGTCCTGGCGGTCCCATTCATTCTCCAGCGGGGAAAATTTCTCGCTTGGCTTGCCATCCGTAGCCGCCATGAGGAGGAACCATAGGCTATCCCAAAGGTCGGCCAGGTCCGCCGCGGACAAAGGCTGGGGAAGCCTGCCCGCCGCCGACGCCACCAGGCCGTTGAAGTAGTCCGTTGGTACCACTTGGTCATCTTGGCCCACCGGAATGTTTGAGAGTTCCAGGATCTGAGCGAAGCGGATGGCCGGCTCCCCGCCCAGCTGCCTCCCTTCCTCTGCCGTGCCATGGCGCAGGCACATCAGAACCAGCAGCTCCCCGTCCGTCTGTCTCGGGGAAAAAAACTCATCCGCCAACGTGTCCCACAGGACCCTTGGAATGCGGTCCCAAAGACGAGTGTAAGGCGGGCGCAAAAGAAACTTTGCAGAGACCCTAGCCATGATGAAAATGGGGGGTTCGAGCCTCCTATTGAACGGCCGGGACCCAACCGCGGCACACTGCACGCATGTTCCAACCCCACAGGATGCCGAGTGCAAATGGGGCAGGCAGGCCACATGCAGCCCAACAGGACCCAAAAGTCAACCCCCGGAAATCCCCAAAAAGCACCACGGAGGGGGGAAGACCAACCCGGCGGGGGATTCCCCAAAACCCCCAGGGGGACCTCAGGCAACCCAGAGTCAGCCGCAGCCACTTTCTCCAAAACTGTGGCCGATATGGCCCGTCCTTGGGGCAGCCAAAGCGTGCAGCCTCCAGATCGAGGCAAACCGGCAGTCGTGACGCGTTGAACAGGGGGGGGAAACCCAGGTGAAAGAAGAACCCAACAGGGGACACCCTTACTCCTCCCCCCAGCCAGGTGGGAAGAGATCTCACGACTCCCCATCCAAAAAGGCTGTGAGACACGACCTAGCGGCTCTCACCCTTCAAGATCGCCTCCTTGGCCACCAGACTTCTCCGGGTTGCTCAAGATGACCGACCACAAGGCAGTGGAGACATCCCCCAGGCCATTCGAGGAGCTGAAGCGCATGCGCGGGGTGCTCGCATCGCCAAGTCCTTGGCCGCTCGTCCCTGGGAGGCTCTGTCGGCTCCACCCGCGAGTAGAACTCCATCCTGTCCCGGATCCGGGGGCTCGTCCATCACCAGCTGCAGGCATGTGGCCTTGTCCTTGTGCCACCCCGCGATCTGGAGCAGCCTGGTCCCCCCGCGGCTCGCCCTCCAGAAGCCCTTGCAGAACCTGCACATGTAGCGCCCGGTGGTCTTGAACTTCTCCTTGCCCACCACTTCCCAGGCGCTGATGCTGGGCAGGACCAGGCCGCACTCCACGGAGGCCCAAAACACGTGCTTCGTCTTTTTTGGGAAGTGCTTGTTGATGTACTTCCGGCCCGCGACCGCCGTGACCGTGGACGTGGTGATAGGAGGGTACCGCCTGGTGCCCTGGTCCGGCGTGCGGAGCGTGGTGTCCGCCCCCCCCAGAATCTTGGCCTTGGGGTCCGATTCCTTGGCCGCTCCTCCCCCGCGGCCAGAGGCACCCAAGGGGGGGGAGCAACCCAGCTGCCTGATAAGGTCCTGGGAGCCCAACCGGTCGTACAGGGCCCCCGCCGCCTCCTGCGGGACCTGCTCCACCCAGTCATGGACCACGTTGCAACGCCAGTTGACCTTGACCTCCACCATGGAGGACTTACTCAGGCCCGACACCAGCTTGGTGTACACCAAGTCGAAAGCCCTCAACGATGACAGCGGAAGGGTGATTCGCTCGTCGCAGACCGCCCTGAAACGCAGCGCCTCCTTGCTGTCGTGGACGGGGGCCACTGGGATCTCCATCACCGGCAACGGGCAGTTAACGATGAAATTCTTGGCCGCCAGAAACGTCCCCATCTCCTTGAAGATGTAGCTCCATTCCGCCTTGCTGTGCGGCTTGGGGATTCCCAGGCTCTCCAGGAAGGGGACCGCCTCCTTCCTCATCTGGAGGATGTTGCCCATCCACTTGTCCGAGGCCGAGCCCTCCGCATTGTGGCCCCGGCGCTGCCTTCACGATCAGCGGGAAGGTGATGTACTTGAAGGTGAACCTGTGGGCGTACACCCCCGTCAGGCTCGGCAGGTCCCACGTTCTCGTCTGCCTTGTCCAAAACACTCCATCGCCCTTCGCCCAGAAGATCCCCACCACCTGCTCCGGCGCCGGGCGCTCGCCCCGGTTCACCTGCGCTCGGATCTCCAAGGCCGTGTAGATGACAGGGTCGATGTGGTCCTGCTCGCACGTGAGTGGGCGGGTCCTGCGTTCCACGGCCAGAAGCTCCTCCGGAGTGAGCTTGAATTGCTGGTCCGCGCCCTTGGGGATCTCACCGCTTGAGTGCTTCTTCCAGATCCCCCCAAACATCCGTAGCTCGCCTTGGTGCCTCTTCATCGCCCAGAGGAGCAGGGACAGCTTGCCCTCCTCCGAGTTCAGGTCCTGCTGTGGCATTGACTGGTCCGCCCCGGGGCCGGGTGGGCCGGTGTCGCCAGATCGGGCATCTCCTCCAGCAGCGCCTCCTGGTTCCATGGGCTGCGCCTCTCTGAGCCTCCTGATGTAGGGGACATACTTCTCCTTGATGTCACCCACGTTGGGGATGTCCTCGGGGTCATCCAGCTCAGGGGGCAGAACAGCCCCCTCTCCAGTGCCTGCCTGAGATCATCTGGCCACGCCGACACTTCCAAGGGCTTGAGGGTGTGGTTAAGCATCCATGCCTGGTTGGTGTCCTGGGTGCGCTTGTTCGCCTCCTGAGCCTCCTGGATGGAGCCCATCGCCTCAGCCAGTGCCTGGCTGGCGTCAACGCCCTTCCCCTCCAGGTACTGATCTCGCAGCTTGGCCTTGAATCGCTCCAGGTTGACCTTCCTGAGGGCCCGGGCTCCCTCATTGGCCACCTCCTCTGACGGCAGGGCCTGCATGCCCTCCTGGAGAGGCGCCAGGATAGCCATCTCATTGTCCAGCATCTCGTCCGTGACCAACTCCTTGTGCCGGCGCCTGGCCGAGGACTCCTCCGGGTCGGTTCCCGGTGCTCCCTCAAGGCCTTATGCAGCTCCTCCTTCTTCCGGATCGCCTGGTCCACCTGGGGGTGGTAGAGCTGGAAGCTCTGAGCCTCCGCCTCCTTCAGGGACCGCTGCACTTTGACCTTGACCTCCTGGTGCTCCCGGACCTTCAACGCCTCATCGTCCGCCTCCATGGACAGGATCTCCTGCCGGATGTCCACCCGCCTGTTGAGCGGGACCACGTCTGCCATGGTAATCTCCTCTGCCGTGTCCGTTTTCGGAGGAGCTCTCCCCAGGACCGTGCCGTCCACCAGGTTGCGGTCTGCCTGTGCCCGGGTACCACCGGGGCCAGCGGCACCCAGGCTTCCCCCTTCCCGCTGCTGGATCCAGGTCGGCTTGCCCTCCACAATGAGCAGGTTGTACTAGCCGAGGGTGCCTGGAAGGGGACGAACTCCTTGCCCGGGCAGACCCAGCATTGCTTGGCTGCCTCCGGCCACCCCGTGCCGCATGCCTTGCACATGAATTTGTAGTCTGAGTGGCCGGCATCGAGTCTGTGCATCCGCTGGGTGCCAATGCACGCCTTGTTCCTCTGGAACTGTGAGGCCCAGACCTCCTCCTGCCGGATCTGGATCTTCATCGGAACATAGGCCTCCAGGATGCGAATCACCAAGTCCTCCGTGAGATTCTTCCCGACAAACTTGTGGAACAGGGAGACCGCCTCCTCCACCGGCACAAGGGAGACCGGTTTGTTCACCTGAACCGTGGTCTTCTGGGAAGCCGCCACGAAACCCTTCAGCCTCTTCGTTGGTGGAGTAGCCCGCTCCGTGGCGTCCGCATCTTCCATGTCCTTGTCCTCCTCCTCGGCGGGGCCAGGGGCACCCAAGCCGGAAGTCGGTGTGGAGAAAGCCACACGGAGACGCTCCAGTGCACTGGAGAGGTCGTTCATCACGTCGGTAGCCGAAGCCGACGGGGGGGCCTCGGGCTCGTCCAACACCAGGCCGGCCGCCACTGCCGCCTCGCGTGTGCGAATTTCCTGGGCCTCCTGGCTGGCCATTTCCACCTCCTCCGCGGTGAGCTTCTGGTCCTCAATCAGCTCGAAGGAGGTTGCCGAGGTTGCCGAGGAAGCCATTGCTAGATCGGAGTTAGTTCGGGTTTTTTTTTTCACACAAATTGGGTTCAAAGAACCCAGGGCAAAGCTTGAGCCAAAATGGCATGCGCCATTATGGTCAAGCATTGCCAACACAGTTCATGTTTCCACATGCGTTTCAACATTAACAAAGAATTTTAGTACAGTCTTTGTCTTTCTACACATGAGAACTTGCCACAGCTGGTGCACACAACTAAAGCTGCGTTCAGCCAACCACGAGACTTCCAAACGGCATCCCATACGTGTTCCAAAACTCCAACCCCTGCAGTTCCCTTTCGAAAGGGTTCTCTCCCTCATTCCCTCATTCCGCACAAACAGACGTGGTGCCGCTGAGGGACTTGCAATGGGCAATGGCTCAAGCTAGGAAGAAGCCTCCATGCAAAGAACACCTTTCCATCCTGCAGCACTTTCGCATGCTGCATGACACTGCAGTCCACCTGAACGCCTGTGAAGCCGATCCTTGGTCGTGATCTGTGAAGAAAAGAAAGACCTGACCCAAGCATTCTCGCAGCCAAACAGCTAGTGAAAAGAAACAGCCACCGTTCTTTCCCTGCTGAGGACGGGGCATCTGCACAAGTGCTCACGGACACGATCATGCTGCCCTGGCACGCCAGACACCCCAGCACAGCCAAGCCACCCCAAACAAACATACACAGAATGCAGACCTCATGAGTTCACAGCTCCCAGACCTGCCATCTTTTGCATTTGCATTAGGTCACGCAGTTGTGCTTGCGTGCCTGTGCTTCTGTGTGTGTGTGTCTATTCTGTTTGCACATTGGGAGGGGGGGTGTTGTGTTTCGGTGCTGGTAGGTTGCCTTTGTGCTTGTGCCTGGGTGCCTGCAGCAGTATGTCCACTTGTGTGCCTGTGTGTGTGTGTGTGTGTTTGTGCGTGTGTTGTCTGTTTGAAGAGGCCCGCAAAAACGAGTGGGTCCTTGCAGGTCCATCCAGTCACGCTCCCCCATGAGTACTGTGCCCTGAAAGGCCCCTGCATATCTGGTTTGTTTTCTGTCAATTCCTCTACTCTTTTACAGAATCCCCCATAAAAAGCCATCCATCCTCGGAGAAATCTCTTTTGGAGGGACCCCTCTGCAGTTCCAGTCACTGGAGTGGACACCATGGGAGACGAGGGTTAGATACATGACGTAATCAATCCCCTCCTGCCAAATGGAAAAAGAAGACGCCGCCGTAGAAAGACAAGACAAACAACGAAAACGTTGTAGCAACACTCTACATGTATACATATGGCTTTATTTAATGAAAAAGTAAGTTATAAACGTGGTACCACAGAAATAAACCATATGTAAGTACATATATATATATATATACGTACTATGCTGTTATTGCGTCATTCATTCATGCGGGTATTCATTGCCCAAATAGCTAAAAGCTATAGGGGGGTGCTGCTGTTTGGGGAGCTGTTTGTGCGCTGCTGACGGTGCTGGCGCATCTTTGCCACATTGATGGCAGGGTGCTAGGGCATATAGTTTGGGTGCTGGCGCAGGTGGTGCTTTGGGGTGTCGCTTGGGTGTTGTTTGAGGTGCTGGTGACGGTGTGGGCGCATTTTTGCGAGATAGACGGCAGGGTGCTGGGGGGCATGCAGGTGACGGCGCCGGCGCAGTTTTGCCAGTTCTGCTTTGGGGTTTGGGGCTGCTAGGGGGCATGCAGTTTGGTGCTGGTGCGGCAGGTGCAGTTTTGGGGTGGCGACATTTTGCGAGATTGACGGCCGTGTGCTCTTGGGGTGCTGTTTGCTGCGCTCTTCCGGGTGCTGTTAGAGGTGCTGGTATACAATCATCCGCTATCTGGGGTCTATGCTGGTGTACTTCATTAATTGTTTACCGACTCAATTACAAAACAGCGAAAGCACCTCGAAGTGGAGACCGCAGATCTGGCGCCCCGGCAATGAGCTGAAGCGTCGTGACCCAAAGGCCTGCACGCCGTCAGAATGTGCGATGCATGTGGATGAGCTGGTCTCAGAAGGGGGAATGAAAGGGTGCCAACTCCCGAAAAGTCATACCCAAATGCAGTTGCGTGCTGCGGAACAGAAACGTGGGCTCAGCCACTGAATTAAGGGTGGTGGCTCAAGCCTGCTCCTGGGCAACTGGGCAACTGGGAGATGTCCTTGGAAGGGTGCGAGGCAACGGTTGTGCAATGGCGCAATCAAATGACTTTTTGGCCAAACAATTCTCCGAAGGCCTCCCCTTCTTGTCCGCTCCACTTCACAAACCATCTCGCAAAAGCAGAAGCACGCCTCCATGCCCTTGAGGCAGAAGATGCTCCCCGTGGTGGTGTAGAAGGCCAGCGAGGTGCCCAAGAAGGCATCCCGCACCAACTGCCAAAACCCAGACTCTCTCGCAGGGTCGTGGAGTCGTCGGAGTCGGGAGTGGGGGCCAGAAGCCGAGGTGCTTTGCCCCATCAACAAGCTAGGAGCCTCAATTCAAGTCAGAAGACATGATATGGGGAAGCATCAAGCATCAGGGGGCCTCCGGGGCCTCCTTTGGCGGAACATGCTGTGCACTCATCGCACTCCTCTTTTGTCAGACAAATGTGATCACTCATCGCCGCATCGCTATGAAGCGGCTCCCGCCTGCTCCACGGCGACAATGTGCTCTCCAGGCTCAAGAACCCACGGGCCGTGCTCCACCCCTGCGCCGGGTGACAGGACTGTCTTCAAATCGGAGGCCTCGCTTGGACGTCCTTTTAGAGAGGAGCCAAAACCAAACCTGGAGAGACCCTTCTGCAGATCACAGTACCCAAGGGGTCCCCGAACAAAGGATGCCGGTTTTGTTTAGGGGATCCAATGGAGTGTTCAGGAAAGTATGCCCAACATGTTTGAATTAATGGCCTCTATCAACCTCTGGTTTCGGCTCACGTTGATACGCAGCCGACATCAAACCCTGGCGACGGTGAGTATCCACAACGTCAGATTGTTGTCCTTTCTTGGCTCTGCAGACGCTGAACTGATCTGGGGAATCCTCAAGAGAGATTTTGTACGGGGCTGACCGTCCTCAAGTGGGGATTAGTGGTCTTTGGCTTCCCAGGTGATGCAAAACACTTGTCAAAATGCTACGTTATCTGCTCCCAACTGTCCGAGTTGGTCAAGACCCTTGCGAACGGCCGATCAATGAGTTCAACCGCCACAACCCTGGTTGGAATCTCCTGTGCGTCTACTTGTGATTCATCCGCATAGCAACACTCTTCCCTTGGTCAGATATGGCAAATCTCACTTTTGGGTCTGGCACCTGAGTGACTGGCACTCGCAAAATAGCCCTACTTGCCGACCATCCACTTTGTACATGACCCATGCCTCCGTCGGAACTTCCGTACTCCCTGGTCGTGCCGTCCCGAAGGCGAAACCAAACCTGCAAGCAGGCAGCAACACACACGAGAGGGTCCGAGACGCTTCATCGGCAGCGTTGGAGCAAAGTATAATATGCAAGAAGCACCAGACCTCTTCTCGCTCATGCTGACAATGATGGGTGTGATATAAACAGGTATACACACAGTTGTACGCAGTATCATGCATTCAAACGTGCATGATCTCAACTAGGAATTTGATCCATTACATCCACTGGTTGCTGAGAAGCAGAAAACCTTGGCCTTGTCCACGGCGTGCCCCACTCGGCCACCCAGAGATGCTACACAGCCCGGCTCCTGAAAGCTGATGGGCAAACGAGGAGCAAGGCTCCAAAGAAGCCGCCTACAAGGCTAGAACCATCAGACTCAAGCCACGTCAATGCTTGGAAATTGCTTTGGTCCTCCGCTCCAAGTAAGGCACGACGATTTCGATTTAAAGCTCCAATGTGGGTAGTTCCTAAAAGTGGATCCCCTCTAGCTGCAGCATCCGGAAACCTACGTGTCCTGTACGCTCCCTTAGGCGGAAGCCACCAGGTACCTTGTTAAGAACGGTCTTCCCAAAATGGTCCTGGGAGCTTCCACGTCAACCAGGGAGGGTAATTCCCCGACAAGAATTCAGACACCCAGAAAGAAATTACATACTCATCATGGTGAGGTCCCGCACCCTCTTCTTGAGAAAAAGAAAAAAGGAGAAGATTTCCTTCTGATAGCCTACATTCATGCGATTCGATATCTCCTCCATCGAGATCTTCTCCAAATGGATGCCAATCAAACGGTGCCCTGGCTCGCTGACCGGAATCCAACGGTGGTGAGCCAAGATGGGGGATGCAAGACAGCGAACTGCCCAGGATTGCATCTCGCAGGTGCGCGTATGTTTGCATGTAAGTGTGTGTGTGTGTTCAAAAAGTGTAGACGTCTTGATGACGGGAGCTGGCATCTCACTTACCCGCTCAAGTGGTTCAATTGGTTTTGACACACTCCCAGCTGCTCTCTCTGGACTGCGATTCAATGGGGCAAAAGGCTCTTGGAACAGGCCTGCCTCAGAGTGGATTCCTCTGAAAGTGCCGCTGCTGGACCCCCTGTTTCAGTGTTTTGGTGTGGAGGAGGGGTGATTGGATCAGAAAGTTGGCCAGGGCCCGCGTCCATTCAACACCCCCATGCTCTTTCAAAATCCATCCACGGCTTGGAAGCCTTTGCCCCTGGTGGATGCGTCCAATGGGCTGCTGCTGTTTCTCACAGCCCTTGGTCCCAACCACACAAAAACGAACCGAGTTGCTGACTTGCGACACCTGCTTGTCCAAGCCCAAAACGAGAAGCGCTGAACCATGGAGCCCTGCCTTGGAACTGGAGCCCCACAATGGAGGAGCCAGCCGGCGCGATGAAGCTCCGGCGCTTTCGCGCCTGCGCGCCCTGGCGAAAAGAAGAAGTGGGCGCTCAGCCGGCCAATGGTCGGATAACCAGCAAGCGCAAAGGCCGCTTAAAGTTTGAAGAATTGGAGGTCTCTTGCTTTCATGTCTTAATGTCATGTTGCTGGCTGGCTTCTTGGCTTCTTGGTGCCAAGTTGTCAGGGCTGCAGCCTGTACCTTGCGCCTGGCCTTGCGTGGTAGCGTGGTTTGATCTCAGTGCAAAGGGGGTGTGTCTCATGGGCTTTTGACACCTGGATGCAAGTGAATGTGCCGGTGATGAGGGCTGACCCTCTTTGGGGGCCCTCGTTAATACAGGCGACAGAACACTGTCGTGCTACTCTTGATCATCTGGCATCGATCAAACTTGATGGCACCTTTTACCCGAATTGGTTCTCGCTTCGAGAGCTTCATGCTGGCAACTGGAATGCGCTGATCAGCACAAGGTTCAGTGCCAATGCAGTCTGCTCATGGGGAACAAGTGTGTTGTCAGATTCAGGTTTGTCATTTGGAGCCTGCCTATCAAGCTTTGTCTGATGGCATAAGAGGAAGGGCTCAGCGACGCGACGTGATGTTGCTGCAATTGCTTCAAGCGTCCATGGTTCGGCCATGCTGACTCCACCCTCCACGTGTGTCTCTCACGCCTGTAACGCCAGCACGTCCCCTCTAGAAGTGTGGAAAACGAGAGCCAGGCCCAAGAAGTCGTGCCTCTCCTGTCGCGGCAATCCGGCCGCTTTGAGGTTGGCAGGCATCACACGAGCCATCGAAACTCTCATGGGCAGGTTCATGTCATGGCCGAATCAAGGATTTCAACATGTCTAAGTGTTTCCAGGCAGAAGCCCTGAATGAGCTGGACCTCCAGCAAAGACCAGCTGCAAGGAAGTCTGCAACTGAAAGGCAGATTATATGCAAGGTGTCAATTGACTGACCCCGTTCGAACGAATGCGACATTGCAGCGATCTGGGTACGGTGAGTCCTCCTGTAGGACAGCGATGATTCTCTCATCTGGCCTGTCCGAAAAGGAAAACAACGATCGGATATTGTGCCTTGGTTACTGCCTGACCGTCGTAGCAACTAAAATGCCACACTCCAAGATGAAAGCGTGACAGAGCCCAGCAAAAATGATATCATGCATTGCCGTTGGCATGGATGCAAACAGCTGTCCACATCCGGAAGCATCAACCCGACTGAACGGTGTGTCCCAACCTCGATGAAGAGGTAACCAGCCATCTCGACACGGTCCGCCAAACATGTGTCTTTTGGCCGGCCACTGGGAACATGATGACCCCGCAAAGGAACAAAACACAGTCCGGCAAAGGAAACTTGAAACTACAAACAGGACCATTTAGGAAGACACCAAACCTCAGGAGTTCCGCCCTCTGCTGAAAAAAATAAAGTGAGCGTAGCACGGTCCCCACCTCAATTTCCATTGCTGCTGGATGTCGCCACCTGCACCTCAATGTGCGGAAAACTGGCGGCAAAACGCCTGCCACGCCAAGCTCGGCTCCCCATTAAACAAAAAAAAAGATGCCGACATGCCGGCGTTTTCCAAAGGTGAAGGAAGAAGAGTTGCCGGCACAAAGCACATGGCATCGCCCCAGCCACTGTATGGCTTGCAGTGGATGTGCTTGCTCCGTGACTGCCGTAGGGCACCTTGTTGATTGGTTGAGACACTGCTCACCCCTGTCGAGGTCTGAAATCCTACGACACACCAAGTCGAAAATAGCCGCGCTTCCGTCTGAACCCCGGATCAAAAAGACACCAAGATAGGGCATCTCTTCCTGGGTCCCATCAAAAATCCCTCGCCTTCCAACGGAGTCGAGAGGCCCACCGCCCGACCCTTCAGCCCGGGGGGCTTCCGAAGGTCAGAGTCTTTCCGCTCCGAAGCTTCAGTTGCAAGTTGTCCACCGCATAGCCCGTGCCTCTGGTTAGCACCCAGGCAAGTGGCACCAACCCTTTCCACCCTTCTCATGTTACAAACAGTTCACAAGCTTCAATGCGGTGCGGCTTGCCTGCCCACCTGCCAGGATCAATTCCAGACACATGGAAATGTTCAGACTCTGCTATCACCAAAGTAGGCCTGGTATGCCTTCACCCAAGCACGCATTCAAAGCAAATACACCTGGCACAAAGCGCAGACCTTTGAAAGGCAAAGTGACCAGGCCTTGTTGCCGAACATGCGGTGTTCCTTTCTCAGGGCCCCTTTCCGGAGTGCCTTCAGGGAAAAGAGCAAACCACCCACTTTGGGATTTCCATTCGTTTGATACCCTCCCATATGCAAAACCAGCCTGCTGGCAAGGCACATCCGCTGATCTCTTGAATTACAGCTCGGGGCTCCCCGTCTTTGAGAGCCAAGTTCTCCGGGAAGCTCACCTGAAGCAACTCTCAGCTTGGAAGCGGAAGCTCCTGAAGTAAGCCCTTGTGAATAACATGGAGCCTCAAAAGGCATCCCTCCCAATAAATCCCCCTCTGGAAATGATGTTTATTTATCTTCGAAGTTCCACGTTGGTTTCTGTGGTCGATGGTTCGCATCAAACAAGTGTGTGACAACCGGTTGAAACACAAGCACAAGCCACTTCCCCTTGGCTCTCGCTAGCAATCGGCCTTCCGGTTTTCGTTTACTAGACATCCAACATGAATCATAGTAACCGGCAAAAAAGGCACATGGGCGCAACAGCAATAGCACCGAGAAGAGGCGACGGGGGCAGATTTGGCAACCATGCAAGATCGACTGATAAACCCCAATCCATCTTGGACTTTCGTCGTCCGGGCTTGTGAGCGCTGGCCTTCCCGACCATCTTGTGCATGTCTGTGCAGCTGGAGAACCAGGAGTGGTGGACACAGTCGACATGGCTGAACCTCCGGAGTGGCTCGTCTGTTTTACGGGATACGGCTGTTCCGAAGGCCCCCTTCTCGACAAAGAGAGTCTGCAAAGGAATGCTGGAAGGGAGCAGGAAGCAAGACTAAGTTCACCAAAAAAGTGTCAAGATAATTGGATAGTGACCGTGTTCTTTGCAACGCGCACACGCTTTCGCCACGGAATCCCGCAGGTCAGATCCATCTCCACTCGTTGAAACTTTTTAAGATCGTCGTGGAAATTGACAGTGCCGCAACTCACGCCTCGCTGTTGTGTTAGACTACACAGCCCGGCCAGAGGGCAAAACGTTTGCTCACTTGAAGTAGCCCGCTGCTCCCAACAAGAGAAACATGAAACATGCCAGAGGTTGCCTCCATTAGAATCCGCTATTTTGGTTGGAAGATCCTGGCTCCGCATCAACACTCAGATTTCTGCAAACCCAATGGTCACCTGGAGCTCCCTCTTTTCCCTTACGTCCGACCACCCCAAGAAACCATTATGTGCTTGATGAATTTGGACCCATGTGATGTCTCGACTCCGCCTTCCCGCCATGTTGATGTTGAGGAGGCCCTGCACCAACTCGTGCACCTGGAGGATGGCTGGATGCACCACACAAGACCCCAGAAAGGACATCCGACCACATCGAACAGGGTGGTTCTTTATTCATGTCAATCGGACCTCCCATGTGCAACTGGGCCAAACCACTTTATTCGAGTGAAAAGATACACACCCAAACCACACACGGTTGGTAGTGTCTTCAATCAAGCCTGTGAGAACACCCTTAAAAAGCAACAAGCAACCTAGCCCGAATCCGAGACTGGCCATCGCTTTGGCAGCTGTCAAATTGAATGACTCTCATCCAGCTCTTGGCTACATGCAAAGGGGGTGCTGTTGTCTGCTCTCTCGCATCGGCCACCCCGGCACACCCAAGCTAAATCCGGAAATCACCAGGCAAACACTGGCGCTAGAGCTCTGCCCAAAGCTGGCGGCTGATGTTTACCTGCAATGTGCTCTTTTGTTGCTGGTCACACGATAGACTAAACTCCTCCAGCTTGAAAAAAACACATCACAAATCTCCATGCCTTGCTGCTTTACCCAACCCAGTCGAGCAAATCCAGCCAGGCGAATGACTTCAGCAGTAAGTAGCCAACACTTGGCGTGCTCTTGTCTCTGGACACCAAAGTGCGCGGCTGTGGTTGAAGAAAACTATATACCAGCTGAAGAGCGCACGTCTGTCTGGTCGCGCTGCTGAGATTCATCGGCCGAAACCGCTGTCAGACTCACACAACGCCTGCTGAGGCTGACACCTTTGCATCAAAACAAAGACAGCAGGCCTGTTTAAGAGTACGATTGCCTCAACATCCTCCGCTAGGCTTGACCTTGAAGGGGCCATGGTATGGCTAGTTGGTGCCCATTCTCACACGACCCGGATGGAGGGGAGGAGACAAGGAGACACAGAGAGACAGAGAGAGAGAGAGAGAGAGAGAGAAAGAGACAGAGAAGATACAGAGAAAGAGAGAGAGAGAGACAAAGAGACAGAGAGACAGAGAGAAAGAGACAGAGAGAGAGAGAGAGAGCGAAAGAGAGAGTGAGAGCAAGAAAGAAAGAAAGAAAGAAAGAAAGAAAGAAAGAAAGAGCCTGTGTGTGTGTGCCACCTTGTTATCCCTACCAGCCCTGGAATTACAGCGCCTCTGTCGACGCATGCTGCCAGGACTTTGAGGCTTTGATGCAGGAGACCACCTGCCGCGGCCGTTGGTGCCATAAAACCGAAAAAGGACTGACAGCCGAAGTTTGTATTTCTCCAACACAACTCTTGACTGGCAAGAAGTATGGCTGCATGCAAAAACATGTAGCTTGTTGCATGCTTGCATGTCAAACTCATTCAAACGGGGTCCTCCTCATCAGTCACTAGAACTGGTCTGTCCTTTTGTTCGGTCATGCAGCACTCATCAAGCGGTGGTCATACTCCCTGCCGTGGAAACCACTTCAACGCGCAGAACAAATACAGTGACAAGCGCCGCGGCGTTGCCACAACGTGCATCGCAGAACACTGGCAGAACAACAACAAGCAAAGTAGCGCCTGTGACCCTTCCAAGCACATCTGCTCCCTCAAAACCCTCCAGTTGCCTCCTTGTGCCGCTCAGGCACCAGGTCCTTTTTGCTCCTGAAAGGATGGGAGCTTCACTCGAAGATGCAAAGAGACAATGCCAGTCTTTTTCAGCCCATGCATGCCAGAAATGGCGCCCGAAGTTCAGCCAATAGATGCAACCAAAAAGGAAGGATGACCCTCAACTTATCAGTGCCGCTTCGAGCCCAGCCAAGCACGTGTGTGTGTGTGTGTGTTTGAGGTCTGTCCTGATGGTGAAAGGCCACTCCCCACAGATCATGGCGTAGATCATCACCCCAAAGCTCCAGTAGTCGCAGGACTGACGAGCGTTGGACTTGGTGTAATGCTCTGCTCAACACCCAGACCCTGCCAGCTCGGCGAGACTGAAAGCATCAGGGGACCTAGGTTACAACAAGCCAGCGTGGTTCCCTTGCCCCGTAGACCAGCTTGATATTTTGCGTTGTCATCTAAAAGCAATGTTCGATGCTGGGCTACTGCAAGCTGCACACAAGGGGGGTCCCTCAAACTGACGCATGCATTTCATAGGCTTTGCGAGCTGCTTCCAAACCAAGTGTTGCAAGTTGAGAACGATTGGGCTGAGAACGCTTATACAGAGAAAGGCTTGCCAACGTCTACCACTGCCGTGGTTCCACAGCTCGGCAGAGAAGCGATTAGGTACAGGTCAGAAATTAGCAAATGTGTGCGTAACATCCATTCCGCTGCGAGAAGCAGAAGGGCATGCGTTGTTTGCCCCACAACAACAGAACGTCAAGGTCTGAGGCCTTGAGCGCCAAATGCCCAAGTGCCAATCCGCCGCTCGCCTGATCACAGACTCCATGGAGCACCTGTGCAATCTTGAGCGGAGAAGGGCAGTGCGGTGAAGGATGTGGTACGTGGACCATCCCCAACAGTGCGAGGATCCGCACCAAAAAGAAAAAAGCAAAAACGAAACGAAGGTAATCGAGAGTGGCCCGCCGTTTGCCATTGCAGTCATGCAAGTTGTGGCCCAACACAAAACTGTCCTCTACCTTACGGACATGGACAGGTTCCCTCAGGGCAGTCCTTCATGCGAGTGGTGTCTGAATGCTGCTCGCAACCTCTCCTGATTTGGTCACCGCCCCAACAATTATGCAACAAAAAATCCCCACACAACCCTGCCGCCAGGACCATGGCAACTTTAATAAAATAATAATAGTAGTAGTAATAATAATAATAAAGTCGGAAAGAAACAAGTCGGATATGTTTGGCGATGTTTCGGTGCGGCAACGCTCCATGTGCCAATCTAGAACAGCCACGAAGAGAGGCCGGCATGGATCGCTTCCCTGCAAGACGCGGTCAAAACGCATACATGTTTGATGCCGGCTGATCCGACTCGCAGGCAAAAAGCTGCTTGACGTTGATTGAGCCGAACGCACGAGAGAGGGAGAGAGAGAGAGAGAGAAGGGAAAAAGAGAGAAGCAAGAAGCGCAAGAAAGAAAAACAAACAGAAAGCAACACAAGCTTGCCGAAAAAATGGTGGCAACTGGCTCTTGACCTCCCTTGGGCAATGGCCTCTGGCGCCACAAAGTCTGGCGACCCCACCGCCGTGGCGCGGCGCACCAGCGGTGCGCTGTGCCTCAGCCGACCCGGCAAGCCGAAGAGGTCCGATCCGTCTGGTGCCGTCTGGTGCACTGGTACCGGAGTCGGTCCCGATTCGGTCCCGATTCGGTCCCGATCCATCAAATCATCCAAAAGCTTCCCGAAGGCCCTACCCAACCAACATGTCTTTCGAGTTGGCAAAGGTGAGCCCAGATTGATCAACCTGGTAGATTGTGCTATAGGGATATGTTCACTCCAATAGTGAAAGACTTCCCTCTAAAAATTGGGAAACCAAAAGGAAACCACCCATTTTCGAGGTCCCCCCCATTTTGAGACAACCTCAGGTGAAGGAAAGCAAGTGGCAGGAAGTTGCTGTTAGTTTACCACTGTCTGTCCGGGCGTTGCATCGTTGAGCTTCCCCGTGTGCTTCCTATGCCCTTGAATTGGTTGCACAAATCTTTGATGTGTTTGATCTCTGGCACACGCTCTTTGTCAGCTGCGCACCGGTTGAAGAACAGGCTAACAAGCTGAACGCCCGCTGCGTGGTAAGCAACATCAACTAGCCAATACACAAGCAAGAAAAAGCGCAAGCTGGCATTCTGATTCGACCAACGTCATGACCCTTCGCCAATACGCCCATTGGGCCCTGAGTATCCTTCTAGAATAGCTCCGAATGAGTTGGTCTGAAGGTACAAACAACCAAAAGGGGGTCGCAAAAAAAGCACACACACACACACAAATACATGCTCTCGGCGTGTTGGGCCGGCCAGCAAAAAAAGGCTGCGGCATCGATAGTATGCTTCTTCTGTTCAGTCCGCCTCCAAAACTCTCAACACAAACGAGAGCATCCTAGCGAAGGTGCACAAGGCTTCCAGGGCTCAGCAAAACGAGTCCTTGACTCATTACCTCCGCGCAAGCCATGCGGCCAAGCAGCATGTTCTTGGAAAGCCCAAAGTCGGTGATCTTGACCTGCGAACCAAAGCCAAAGTGTGGAAAGCCAAGAAAAGTTGCTACAATGCAAAGAGAGTAATGAGGTGTCGCCGTCAGAGCTTCTGGTTAGACAGAAGTAGTGGCTGAACATAAGGAAAAACTGCCACACCACAGCAAGCGAAGGCATTTGATACTGTGGATCGGATGCTCGACAACCACCGGGCCATGCCAGACTGCATGCCCAAAAGCAAAAACGCGTCGAAGCAGAGTTACCCCGCGTCAAAGTGGGTGGGGGGACTCTTCCGAGAGAAACCGAGTCTCATTAAACCTCGGCGTCAGCAGCTTCGCAAGAGGACAGGCACGGGAACATCCAAACCGCCAGGTTCCGCCGAGACACATCGTGCACCTCCGAAGGCGTGGGAATGCCCTGCTCCGCCGGACCAGGGTATGAATAGGTGCGCGAGATGAGCCTCCCGCCATTTGGGCAAAAGGGAAGCGTGAAATGAGAATCCACGCGCAAGGAATATCACCCGGATCCCTACTCCTGATGTGTGTACACTGGCACCAACGCCACTTCTTTCGTTACTTAGAAAGTCCGTAGACCAAACAGCTACTTTTCTGCACACGTGTATAAAGCAGCCTGGTGATGTGTGTTAACCATAAAGTTGAGTGATCTTTGGTACTTCTGGGGCAGGCTGCACAGGGCGGGCCAAATCAATTTCGGTCAACGGAATACTGAACCTGATCGTCTACTCGTGAAATCTGGCCACATTGCCAAACTCGACCACCTTGGAAACCGGCACCTCCAGACTGGCAATTTCCTGGCCGGCTCTTCCAATCTGGTGACAAAAGGCCGGTTTCCACCCTTGTGCTATGTAGCTTGTCACACCGAGGCACACGTTTTCCAACTTCATATCCCGGTGGACGACGCCGTTGGAATGCATGTACCCCATACCTCGGTTCTCGACAGCACCTTCCACCCTGTCCGCAATCGACAACGCAAACATGCTACTTGTGCCTGTGCTACGAATAGGAGAAGGCAAAGCTGCCTGCCAGCCCATCCGGCACAGAAAAAACAAAGCAGGCGCAAGAAGCGGCAACCAACCCAGACGTCCAGTAGCAAAGCAAAGCAGCCATCTCAAGGACGTGCCCTTAAGCAAGGCAAGTCAAACAAAAGACCAAACAAAACAGCTTTCATCCACAAACTTCGACCGATCACCTTGCCCCCGGCCATCAACACTCCCTTATCCTTACCCATCCACCCCTGGCGCTCCAGCCCAAATGTAAACCCCGGAGAAATAAGGGGTGTTTGCCCAAAAGGAGATGGGACACCCCTCCATTGCCCAAGCGGGGTTGTTTGCCAAATTACCGTTTCCGGGGGTGGTTGCTAGGCAACCAAAGCAGAATGACGGAGGTGGAGGTCTCCCCACTATTCAAAAACAAATCAGCGTCCCCCTCCATTCAGAAACTCCCATCGGCTCAAAAAAACCAAGCGGAAAAACAAAACAAAAAAACAGAAAGAAATGGCCATGGGTCAAAATCCCGTACCCCCCGTGAACATCCCAATCCCCGCTCAAGTCGGCTAAACTGGGTGAATGAATTCACCTACCGAACCACAAAATGGGATCCCAAAACAGTTTTGACCACGGCCAAATGGCCCGTTCCCCCGGCACTCTGCCGCGGGCATCTCTGAGCTTCCGGGCCGTCAAGGAGCTGCTGCGCCACGTGCCGGCTGGCCAGCTCCGAGCGCCCGAGGCCCGGGAAGTGGTCATCCCCTCAGCCAAAGCCGAGGGCCCAAATGGCAAAGAGGCCAAAGAAAAGGAGAAAAACGTGCGTATACATAAAATAGATATCTATACATACATATATATATATACATACATATATATATATATATATATACATATATATATATATATATATATATATGTATACGCATATGAATCCCAGGACTCACGCACTTGCTGTAGTATATGCTCACACCCCTCCCATGATCCACTTTTCCTCCTTTGCACATCTTCCATTTCCATTTTTGCAAATCTACTCCAAAGCTGCCACATCTGCTCTTTTGCCATCTTCCACCTTTTCAAATCTGCTCCACCACTGCCCACTGCCTTTCCACTTGCTTGTCAAACTGCAACTAACTTTGTTTAAATTCCTGTTTGGAACTCAAATTAGCACTCAACATAGACTTTCAAGTCCATTAACATGGCAATTATCGTTGATTAAAGTCCGAGTTGGAAAGTACTTCCTACGTTAATCCTCAAGACATTCAACTGCACATGTGTTGCTCTTCAATTCAATTACAATTCTGATTACATGTTGATTCAAATCTTACTTAACAGGGATTTAGATTTAGATTTAAATTCTAATTGATACAGCAAATATATATATATATATTTGAACTATTCCCGTACTAAGCTCTATTGATTGACAGGATGCTTTACTTAGTTTTCAACTGAAGATAGAAGCCTAATGAAACTCGTGCCTTATTAAATTATATGCACATTCTGCTAGTGTATGTTAGTTTCACATCATATATGGAAAGGGCTTCTCCTTTCCATTCTCATTCAACATAGAAACCCTGATAGGCATTCTTCGCTCAAACACAGATTAAACCTCAATTGGAATCCAATTTGGTATAAGGAGCCTTGTAAGGAGTTTTAAAGGGACTCTTTTTACAGAGATTTAACAGGAGCTGCACAAGGAGCCCATAAGCAGCTTGTCAAGGAGAATATGGAGCTGTATAAGAACTTTAACATGTGCATTATAAGTTTAAAAAAAAACTGTACAAGGAGCCTTATATGCAGCTTTGCAACAACCCTTATAAAGAGTCTTATCATGAGCCTTAAAAGGAGCTGCACAAGAATCTTTGCAAGGAATTGTACAAGGAGCCTTTAAGGAGCCTTAAACAGAGCTTTATGATGAGTCGTGTAATGAGCTTTATTTGAGGCTTCATTAAAGAGTCTTATACGCAGCCAAGTGAGCTTCACAACACGCTTTGCAAGCAGCTTTATAAGGAATTGCGATCCTTATATGGAGCCATGACATAGAAGAGCTGTATAAGGAGCTTCAAAAGCAGTCTTACAAGCAGCTTTACAGGAGCCTTATGAGGAGTGTCATACAGAGTATTGCACAACAACCCTTCTAAGGAGTGTTTTAAGGAGCTGTATCAGGAGCCTTCATTAAGGAGCCTTCAAAAGAGTTGTATCAGGAGCTTGAAAGGAGTGTTGAATTCCAATTTTACATTGAACCATCTAGTTCACTGGTCACACCCCTGTGGCTCCAAGATGGCTTAATCATGGCAGTACCAAACCTGCACAAAACAGGGATATGCCAAATCACAAGAACATCGTGGGAAAACCAAACATTACAAAGCAAAGCTCGAGAGAACCAGAAAACACAACCCAGAGGCGAAGTGTTGGTTTTTTGCCAAAAGGTTTTGTTCTTGGTGGTTCTCGTGTTCTGTTGTTTGGTTTTCCCTGAGCTTTGTCGGGTTGTTCAGCTCCATCCCTTCAAACAACCAAAAAAAACTATAACTAGGGTCCTCACGAAGAAGTGCCCCAAAAACCAGAAAAACAGAAAAAGAAAAAAGGAAAAAAAAAAAAAAAAACAGAAAACCAGAGAAATCAGGAAGAAGAAAAAAAGAGGAAAAAAAACGGGGTCTGGGAGACAATTGATGGAGGTCACCCTTCTTCTGGCGGACCCTGGTGTTTTGCTGTTTTCGTTTTTCTTTTTTTTTCTTGCGCTTCTGTTTTGTTCCCATGTTTTTTTCCTGAGGACCCTGGCTTTGGATGTGTGTGGTTTTTCAGGTGTGTTTTTGGTAAAAACAATCGCAATGCAGGTGCGGCCAACTCAGCCAGTTGTCATGCTTTCAAAGGCCGATTCACCTTGGAAAGCTGAGTGTAAAAAGGGAAATGAAACGGAACAGTTCAAAGAGGCAAACATGTTTAAAGTGACACAGGCAGCAGCACTCCTGGGCCTCAAGAGGCTCTGTTTTTTCTGCTGTTTTTTTGGTTTGAGGCCCTTCTTCCAGAGGATCTTGTTTTTTCCTCTTCCATAAGACCCTGTTGTTTGATCGATTTTTCAGCGCGTTCCCCCTGTTTTTGAGCTTTGTGTTGGCCTCGGGGCGATCCTGGAGGGGGGGGAGGTACCATGTGTATATGTATCTCTATATATATATATATGCCCAACAAGGCTCTGCTTACGCCATAGTACACAAAGCCAACAACCCAGACCGCCATTGGAGTGGCTGGTGGATAGGAAGCAACGGCAACTCCCTCTGGAAGGTTACTGCACGGAGGGGGGTCTGCCCATGCCAACGGAGTAGCCCCCACGGAGAAACACCTCCAGCACAAAACCATGCATGACCCCCACGCATCCTGTTCCGAGGTCACATCATCCAGCCCGCCATTTGAGTGGCTGGTGGATAGGAAGCAACGGCAACTCCCTCTTGGAGGCTACTGCACGGAGGGGGGTCTGCCCATGCCAACGGAGTAGCCCCCACGGAGAAACACCTCCAGCACAAGACCATGTGTGACCCCCACGCATCCTGTTCCGAGGTCACATCATCCAGCCCGCCATTTGAGTGGCTGGTGGATAGGAAGCAACGGCAACTCCCTCTGGAAGGTTACTGCACGGAGGGGGGTCTGCCCATGCCAACGGAGTAGCCCCCACGGAGAAACACCTCCAGCACAAAACCATGCATGACCCCCACGCATCCTGTTCCGAGGTCACATCATCCAGCCCGCCATTTGAGTGGCTGGTGGATAGGAAGCAACGGCAACTCCCTCTTGGAGGCTACTGCACGGAGGGGGGTCTGCCCATGCCAACGGAGTAGCCCCCACGGAGAAACACCTCCAGCACAAGACCATGTGTGACCCCCGCGCATCCTGTTCCGAGGTCACATCATCCAGCCCGCCATTTGAGTGGCTGGTGGATAGGAAGCAACGGCAACTCCCTCTGGGAGGTTACTGCACGGAGGGGGGTCTGCCCATGCCAACGGGGTAGCCCCCACGGAGAAACACCTCCAGCACAAGACCATGCATGACCCCCACGCATCCTGCTCCGAGGTCACATCATCCAGCGCGCCATTTAAATGGCAGGTGGATAGGAAGCAACGGCAACTCCCTCTGGGAGGTTGCTGCACGGAGGGGGGTCTGCCCATGCCAACGGAGTAGCCCCCACGGAGAAACACCTCCAGCACAAGACCTTGCATGACCCCCACGCATCCTGTTCCGAGGTCACATCATCCAGCCCGCCATTTGAATGGCTGGTGGATAGGAAGCAACGGCAACTCCCTCTGGGAGGTTACTGCACGGAGGGGGGTCTGCCCATGCCAACGGAGTAGCCCCCACGGAGAAACACCTCCAGCACAAAACCATGCGTAACCCCCACGCATCCTGTTCCGAGGTCACATCAGCCAGCCCGCCACTTGAATGGCTGGTGGATAGGAAGCAACGGCAACTCCCTCTGGGAGGTTTCTGCACATAGGGGGGTCTGCCCATGCCAACGGAGTAGCCCCCACGGAGAAACACTTCCAGCACAAGACCATGCATGACCCCCACGCATCCTGCTCCGAGGTCACATCATCCAGCCCGCCATTTGAGTGGCTGGTGGATAGGAAGCAACGGCAACTCCCTCTGGGAGGTTACTGCACGGAGGGGGGTCTGCCCATGCCAACGGAGTAGCCCCCACGGAGAAACACCTCCAGCACAAGACCATGCATGACCCCCACGCATCCTGTTCCGAGGTCACATCATCCAGCCCGCCATTTGAGTGGCTGGTGGATAGGAAGCAACGGCAACTCCCTCTGAGAGGTTACTGCACGGAGGGGGGTCTGCCCATGCCAACGGAGTAGCCCCCACGGAGAAACACCTCCAGCACAAGACCATGCATGACCCCCACGCATCCTGTTCCGAGGTCACATCATCCAGCCCGCCATTTGAATGGCTGGTGGATAGGAAGCAACGGCAACTCCCTCTGAGAGGTTACTGCACGGAGGGGGGTCTGCCCATGCCAGCGGAGTAGCCCCCACGGAGAAACACCTCCAGTACAAGACCATGCGTGACCCCCCACGCATCCTGTTCCGAGGTCACATCATCCAGCCCGCCATTGGAATGGCTGGTAGCAACGCAACTCCCTCTGGGAGGTTACTGCACGGAGGGGGGTCTGCCCATGCCAATGGAGTAGCCCCCACGGAGAAACACCTCCAGCACAAGACCATGCATGACCCCCACGCATCCTGCTCCGAGGTCACATCATCCAGCCCGCCATTTGAGTGGCTGGTGGATAGGAAGCAACGGCAACTCCCTCTGGGAGGTTACTGCACGGAGGGGGGTCTGCCCATGCCAACGGAGTAGCCCCCACGGAGAAACACCTCCAGCACAAGACCATGCATGACCCCCACGCATCCTGCTCCGAGGTCACATCATCCAGCCCGCCATTTGAGTGGCTGGTGGATAGGAAGCAACGGCAACTCCCTCTGGGAGGTTACTGCACGGAGGGGGGTCTGCCCATGCCAATGGAGTAGCCCCCACGGAGAAACACCTCCAGCACAAGACCATGCATGACCCCCACGCATCCTGCTCCGAGGTCACATCATCCAGCCCGCCATTTGAGTGGCTGGTGGATAGGAAGCAACGGCAACTCCCTCTGGGAGGTTACTGCACGGAGGGGGTCTGCCCATGCCAACGGAGTAGTCCCAGAAACACCTCCAGAAAAACACCTTGCATGACCCCCACGCATCCTGTTCCGAGGTCACATCATCCAGCCCGCCATTTGAGTGGCTGGTGGATAGGAAGCAACGGCAACTCCCTCTGGGAGGTTACTGCACGGAGGGGGGTCTGCCCATGCCAACGGAGTAGCCCCCACGGAGAAACACCTCCAGCACAAGACCATGCATGACCCCCACGCATCCTGTTCCGAGGTCACATCATCTGGTGGATAGGAAGCAACGGCAACTCCTCTGAGAGGTTACTGCACGGAGGGGGGTCTGCCCATGCCAACGGAGTAGCCCCCACGGAGAAACACCTCCAGCACAAGACCATGCATGACCCCCACGCATCCTGTTCCGAGGTCACATCATCCAGCCCGCCATTTGAATGGCTGGTGAAGAGGAAGCAACGGCAAGTTGCCCTCTGGGAGGTTACTGCACGGAGGGGGGTCTGCCCATGCCAGCAGAGAAGCGCTGCAGAAGAATTCGCCAACACCAATTCTACGATGATCAATCATGGGTTGTCGTTCCGAATGGGTTTCTATCCGCTTTCAGCAATCAGCCCCGCAGCTGCAACGTTGCCAGGGCCACTTGAAAAGACACCGCTAATTGCTGCGGGGGGGGGGGTGGAGGAGCTGCCAAAAATACAATTAGATTCCCTTCATGTCCCACTACAAATCAAGAACTTCTCCCCTCAAAAGGAGGAGTCATCACTTCCACTCAAAGTTCGCTCATGCTCACAACACAAGGGGAGCTCCCATTTTCCCGCCGACGGCCTCGGTTGATGGAGATGTTCAGCTCCTCGAAGACCTTATTATGGAGGTCCCCGCCCCGCGCCAGGTCCATGACCAGCCAACACCTGTTCTCCTGACTGGCTTGAGGCCCGGCGCGAGGAGAAAAAAGCACGGAAATTGGCCCCAGTGGATTTCCGCGGTTCCTGACAAGGCCCCAACAAAGACAACGAAAGCCTTCCTTTGTTGAAGAAACCATGCCGTTGCCACCAAGCCTTGCCGACGCCTTGGGATGCCTGAACTCTCAACAACCGAGATCAACAGCCTGCACACAAACCTCTACTAAGACAAAGAAAAACCGTCGCCTTGCGTGAGATCGCGTCCCCACCTTGTGGACCTCCAGCCTGCCCCTTTGTTTCTCCTCGTAGATGTGCGTCAGCAGGTTCACGATCCGTGGGTGGAAGAGCTCCTCATGGCTCTGGCCGCCAGCCAGGGAGGGAGGAAGGGAATTGCTTGCAGCTGCAGTGGATTTCCCTGTGCAGGAGGCATTGGATTTGTTTTTGTTACGCTTCATGGAACAACGAGGCAGGCGACTGGGATGCTTCAAGGACTTTGAATCAGACACTCAAGAATGGCCGAGGCTCAATCTGCTGCGTGGGGGGAGTGGGAAGGCTACAAGAGTCGAGTGCAGTGACAATATGCCTATCTGCTGGCAAATGTGGTTCTTTGACTGGCCCAAAAGCATCCAGGGACCCTGTTGTGGTTTGCTCAAAAAATCGAAGCCCGCCAAAGTTCCGACGCATCTCCCCACGACTGGTTCCTCCATGTTCCTGATCTCCCGCCGGAGGTTCTGTTCGCCGTCGTGCTTCTGGAACTTCAAGGCCTTCATGTCGATTACCTTGACCTCACATCTGCCAGCCATGCGCAGTGGAAGAATCAGAATGAACCAAATGGGTGTGATTTCTCGATTTCTTGATTTCTTTTTGGGGACATTTTGGTGGACATCACGTTTCCAGGATGGTGTTTGTCCGCCAGCCATGTTTGGACGGAATTCCGACGCCTATTCCCATCTTCGTGGCCTTGGGCAACAGACACAACTGTTGCATGTGATTGCAAGGCCATCCAACATGATTAATGAAGAGGAATCACCGGCATGCCCTCGCCTCTCTTTTTGCGAAAACAAAACCGCCCGCAACTGCATCCTACTGTACATGCATGGAAGGGCTGAAGACAAGGCCCCCGGGCTGCATACGTCTTGTCTGTACCCAATCGCGTGCACTCGTAGACTGTCGCTTGGCCTGCCCATGAAGAGCATGCGTATCAACATGCTGACAAGCTCTCCGAACCGGAGGGACACCAGGAATCTCAGGTTCAAACATGACGGTGTTGCAAAGGCCTGAAGGACTGGTTCTCCAAAAAAGCGCTATCTCTCCAAAGGAGGACAAACCAAAGCCACAAGAAGTTTAACTCGCAGAGCTTGAGCTTGTGCCTGCATGCCTCAAGGCAGAATCGAAGATCCTGCCTCCCTTGCCTAGCCGCTTGCCCAGCTTGAACTGATCATGCACGGGCCCAAAAAGTTCCCGCTCTTTGGAGTTGTTCTCCAGGACAAAGTGGTTCTCCTAGGTCAACGGGCTGCTTCAACCTCATCAGAAAACTAGCCTTGGAGAAAGCGATGGTGCGCCACCAAACACTCGTCTGCTAGCTTCTAAACAAAATCCCATAACAAGAGAGCAAACTGCTCTTGCATGTCCATTGAGCACCTGCAGCAAGAAGCAAAGCAGCGACAACCATTGCGACAGCAGCGACAACAGCAACAGCGGCAACAGCAGCAACCTGAATTGCGGGGAGGACCATGAAGGCAACAACAGCAACAACAACAACAACAACAACAACAACAACAACAACAACAACAACAACAACAACAACAACAACAACACCAACAAACAACAACAACAACAACAACAACAACAACAACAACAACAACAACAACAACAACAACAACAACAACAACAACAACAACAACAACAACAACAACAACACCAACAACAACAACAACAACAACAACAACAACAACAACAACAACAACAACAACAACAACCAACCACAACAACAACAACAACAACAACAACAACAACAACAACAACAACAACAACAACAACAACAACAACAACAACAACAACAACAACAACAACAACAACAACAACAACAACAACAACAACAACAACAACAACAACAACAACAACAACAACAACAACAACAACAACAACAACAACAACAACAACAACAACAACAACAACAACAACAACAACAACAACAACAACAACAACAACACCAGCAGCAACAGCAGCAGCAGCAGCAGCAACAACAACAACAACAAGGTAGCCTTCACCCTTTGCGGCCCTGTGAGTTCACACCTTCTTCGCACAAAGTGCTGGGTGAAAGCCATACAGTCCAGTCGAAAAAAGTTTAATCGAGGCAAAACCAACAACAAAAGCAACATCAACAGCCACATCAACAGCAACAGCAACCGCACCAGGGGGCTGACCGTCAGCCTAAGTAAACCAGAAAGGTTTAGGGCTTAGGGCTTCACGGGGAAAACTACAAGATGTCGGCTTTCAGCCGCCCGCCTGATGTAAGTCATCTACTTCAAGAATGGGAAGCTTGAGAAAGCAGCGAGCAACTGGCTGCAAGGACCGAAAAAGACCGTCCGCTGCCCGAGCTGGCCGCAGCAGGACTACCAAGATCAGCAAGCTGCTGACACGCATGGCTGAGTTTGCAATGATGCTGCAAATGCGGAAGACATGACAGAAATCCACGCCTAAATTTTCCTAAAGTCCATGACTGCGTGTGCATGACATGACAGAAATTTATGACTGACATCCAGGACTGCGTGCGCATCTTTGCTACACCCCCCGTTGACTGCGTGTGCATCTTTTGCCGAACGTTTTTACCCCACCCCACCCCACCCCCCATTGACTGCGCGTGCATCTTTTACCGAATGTTATTACCCCACTCCACCGTGTGCATCTTTTACCAAACGTTATTACCCCACCCCACCCCACCCCACCCCACCCCGCTGTGCGTGCATCTTTTACCAAACTTTATTGCCCCACCCCACCCCACCCCACCCCACCCCCCGTTGACTGCGCGCGCATCTTTACCGAACGCTACTACCCCATGCCAGCCCCGTTGACTGCGTGTGCATCTTTTACCGAGCGTTATTACCCCACCCCACCCCACCCCACCCCCTGTTGACTGCGCCGTTATTACCCCCCGTTGACTGCGCGTGCATCTTTAACCGAACGTTCTTACCCCCAGCCATCCCCAACCCACCCCCCGGTTGACCGCGTGTGCATCTTCAAAAAGTATAAAACTCACAGGGCAGCAAAGGGCGAAGCCCATCACCACCACCACCAGCGCACCACCACCACCTATGGAACACCCAACCTACCCACCCACCACCACCAACAACAACAACAGCAGCAGCAACAGCAACAGCAACAGCAACAGCAACAGCAGCAGCAGCGACAACAACAACAACAACAACAACAACAACAACAACAACAACAACAACAACAACAACAACAACAACAACAACAACAACAACAACAACAGCAGCAGCAGCAGCAGCAGCAGCAGCAGAAGCAGCAGCAGCAACAGCAACAGCAACAGCAACAGCAACAGCAACAGCAACAGCAACAGCAACAACAACAGCAACAGCAACAGCAACAGCAGCAGCAGCAGCAGCAGCAGCAACAGCAACAGCAGCAGCAGCAGCAGCGACAGCGACAGCGACAGCGACAGCGACAAGGACAACGACAACGACAACGACAACGACAACGACCGCTGCTGCGGCTCAGCGGGGTCACTTGAGCGGGTGTGCTTCATGTGGCAGGCGTGGATACACTACTGAGCGGGGTCACTCGAGCGGGTGTGCTGAGCATTTGGCAGGGCTTGGATACAGGTGCGCGAGGCGTTGCGCGGAGCGATGAAATTGGTGACAACGCCTGTCGGAAGGAACCCCGCGTGCAAACCAACCTGTGAAATGTCAAAATTGGCTAAACATGTAAAGTGTCAAAAAAGGCTAAAAACGCAGGGTACAGCCTGAGCGTTCTCACCAAAACCAAGCAGAAAAGACAGACCGGACAGCCAGACAGACAGACAGACAGACCGACCGACCGACAGACAGACAAACAGCCAGCCAGGCACAAGCAAGCAAGCAAACAACCCAAGAACCAGTAAGGAAAAAGGCAACCTAAAGGGGCCACCACTAGTTTCCCGCAAAAATGGGATCCTCCAAAAAAAGAGCGCAAGTTGGAGGCCCACTGGTCAAATCTTGCTTTTCACTTCAGGGCGCAGCTTGTGCATAGCCAGCCATGGCGTGCGGGCCAGGATTTGTCCGCTGCACTGCAGCCTGCTAGCACCTATGGACTGGTGTGGACCGTTAGTGTTGCCCAATTGTACCAAACAAAGGACAAACAGCACAACAATCATGTTCCATCTGCCTGCCCGAAACAACAATTCTCGTGCAGGACTGCATGGAAACCGTGGCTCGAGAAATTCACCTTGGGCCTCATGCCTTGGCCTGACGCGAGCTGTGGGACCCCAAAAGTGTCTGGAACTCGTGCAGAATCCAACAGAAACATCCGGAACTTGACGGTGGGATGGGCCCCAACTTCACGTGCGTCTGTGGGCCGAGATCGATGCGCGGAGCTAGCAATCTCGAAGCAAAAGAAGTCGGGGGATGGCGAAACTGCAGAAAACGGACATCCAAAACTGTGCTGGGACTGCAGTTCAAAGCTGGTGCTTTCACATTGGCAGCTGGGCAAGTGATTTGCAATACAGTATCACATCCACTGTTCTGACCCGCCCCACCAACACACTGGTGCAAAATGCGAGGCAGCAAAAGACACCGCAGAACATGTCATCTTTGCGCTTGCGCCAGTCCGAGACGCAGCAGAGACTTCTGGCTGACAGCGCTCGGGGGCTAGGTCACAATGTGCCCAAACGCGTTAAGGCGGAGTGCAACGCAAGCTTGCTAAGCTGCGTGCCACTCGGCGCGCACATCTTCGGATCAGATCATGGCACTTCAACGCTCCACTGGCCGAAACAAGCTGACAAAAGAATGGCAAGTCGGTCAAGCAGTCCAAGAGTTGTAAGTGTAAACAAGTCAACAGAGTTTTCAGCCACCACGTGTTCCTTCATCAGGAACTGACCCGCCGCTAACATGAAGCGCTGGGGCGCTTGGCCCAAACAGAAGCCTGTGCTCACATTTCAGTCACCATGCCATAGAGAGAGCTGATCTTTTCCTAAAGGTTCACGCAAGCGAGGAGCCAAAACCCAACACAAAACTTGGGCTTCTGACACGTGCACTGAACTTTGGCAAGAAGCACCTTGCCCCAAAGCTCAGCACATCCTTGCACACTCCAGATAGGGTCAAGCATATTCAAAACTTCCCCAGAGAGTGCGGAAGGCCTTGTTCCGTTCGTGGTTTCCTGTTGTGAGCCACGTGTGTTCATGGGCAGAGCTCAGGAGTCAGGAAGCGTATCATATCATTGATCCCTCCCATAGTGACGTGATCGTTCCTGACAACAAATGGCGAGTTGATGTTCTGCGAATGACACTGAACAGTTGTCGAAATGCCGGCAGCGGTTGGGCCTTTCCCCATGTATGCTACCATCAGCTAGTGGTTCTTATTGACAATGGAATTTTGCTAATAAGCTTCTTAACCCATGGAAGCACAATGTTATAAGTGTGTATCATGTTGTTGCCTTTGTTCCAGCAAATGACAGTGAACAAAAACCAAGGCTCGTGTGAAGATTCAACGGATTCCTACGTGATGCTTGATGCTTCTGATGAACTTCTATTTTGCAAGGCTTCAGACTAGTCATCTTCCCAAAGGGCTGATACACTTAGACAAGTCGATGGTTCCTGCCTCGGGCAGGACAATCAGGCAACCAATCAAAGCATGAAACATGAAGTGAAAGACCTTACGCAAGATAGCTCTTTGCGGCGTTGGAAGATTGGCTCACAAATGCGTGCTTGAAGCCAACAGTAACGCTACAGTTCTCCTTCTCCGACAGAAGAGCATGTTGAATGTGAATGCAAGGCTAAGTCCCTGGAGTGTGGCTGCGGGCGAGGCTATGGGCGTGGCTGCGCAAGTATGTCATTGTGAGTGAGTGGGTGTGTTCTCATCAACATTCTATTTGAGCACTGTCTGGAGGATCGGTTGGCCTCCCCACGCATGCCTGCCGCAAGCCCTCTATTGCGAGCAAGGGGCTGCGATAGAGATCTGCGTCCGCGTGAGGTTGGACAGGTACACAACCATCAAAGCGTCCTGCGATATAGGGCAAAAACCCGGCTATGAAGCAAACAGCCTGCTCCCTGGATTCTGGGACACCACTGGGACACCATCAACAACCCAACCGGAACACCACCGGGCATTGGAAACCGCTGAGACACCACCAGCACACCACAGCGACAGCACCGACCACTGGGACGCCGCCAAAACAAAATCAAACACAACTGGGACAACACACCACCAGGGACACCACCGAAAAACACAACAGGAACACGCCAAAACGGCACCCAAAACACAACCGAAACACCACTGGGATAGGACCCCACCAAATCACCGCCTTGGGAAGCATGAAAGGTGCAAACAGAGTTGAGGCATAACAGGGATTGGGGAAGAATGAGGGCAATGTTGCTAGATGGACAATTGTCATGAGATTTTGGAAGCAGCACCATTCAGAATTCAGGGAGGAAGTCCACATACAGAAAACGCATCTGCCCGGCCTGCGTTCAGGGTGTGTGGTTACTTGTTCATTGCAAATTGAGGTCTGTGTCTGCCAGCTCTTGCAGGCTTGGCCTCGAAGAGCAAATAGGGACGTTGAACTCATGCGCGCGCGCGCACCAAGGGCGTTTCCCAGATCCCAAAGATTCAGCGGTCCTGCAAAGAGGCATTGCACAGATTCTCCACAGCCTCGACCTTGGATCCATCTCGCGCCCAGGGCGTTCATCGCGGGGTAAAAACTGATGGGGCGCGAGTTGTGGGCGGAGATGTGGGCTAAGTTGCACAGAAATGAAGCCGGTAGCAAGCAGAAAGAATCATGTTAGTAGCACAACGTAAGTCACACGAGCGGGGTTGCCGAAAAGGTGCTTGCCAGCAAGGACGCCCTCAACCTCATGCGGGGTGATGATTATTGCAAGCCTGAAATTCATTGTGAGCATCTGCCAAAGGTGGCCGCCCTTTCTTTTTTAACGTGGCTCCCGCTCCCTCCGGTGAGAGGCGGCATGTGGCGCCTCACCATGGAAGAGCTTCCACAGGCTGAATTCCGTTAGATGCGTTGGGTGCTAGACATGCCGCGGCATCTTTGTGATGCGCGTGGTCTCATTTGGGAGCTTCTCAAAAATAGGGGTCTCCCTTATGGCTAGGGGAAACCAGAAGGAAGCCAACCGACCACTCTTGCTTCGCCATGGCTCAGTTCGCACGAGGAATCCTTGCAGGGAATTAATCACCTGGGAGGGGGTCCCCGATTTTCAGAAGTCTTTGAAATCACCCATTTTGAAATCAACAAAAGAGATATCTAAGAATTGGATCAGCAGGGGCCTGGCGCAGTTCAAGACTGTAGCGCCAGGACACCCTGCGTGAGCCTCTTGCATGGGAGGGTGGGTTCAAAGCCTCACCCAAATTCGAGTACTGTGCATGGAACACATATCTCCAAGGGAAAAATAAATCTATCTGGTTGGCCCAATCCAGATTGTTCCCTTCTGTGCCAGCATGGCTTCTTGGGTCGCCTTAATCCAAATCCGCAATTCAGTTCCATCCACAGTGTCCCATGACTCACAGTAGGCTCGAAGGCCTTTTCCAAATCAATAGGGGGCAGGCGACTTGGCCTCGCTTCCCTGCGGACGACGCACCTCCCTCGCTTCGCCCGGGCTAAGGCTCAGCAGTCGATGCTGCAAGTTCCGCTGGACTCCAGGCCCGCGGTGCACACGCCGTCCCCGCAGCAGCTGGTCTCAGTGACCACCTCCGACATAGTGCACGACAAGGAATTTGCGCTGCAGCGGCTGTCGGAGCACGCCTCACCGAGACTTGTCGTCGAAGGGAGGAAGGTCTGTTTGGGCGATGTACACCCTAGAAAGAGTTCAAAGGGAAAATGGAACCATCTGGAAAATAGAAGCAAATACAACTGGGTAGATGCCACTGAGCTGGGGCACAGTGCGGGAGTCCCCGCAGCAAAAGCGATTTCGCCTCCTTCCATTCCGCCTGCCCGCGCAGTCGGCTGGGCAGGTGCGGCAGGTCTCCCCGTTCCCGGCCTCGCACACGCCATTGCCGCACACGGCGCCTCCACCGGTCTGCGAGGCGCAGTCGGACGGGCAGGAGGTGCCTTGGCTATGGCTGCTGTGCACGAAGCTTTGTAGGTGGATGGGAAAATAGTCATGCTCCCAAAAGAGGCCAACCCGATAGCATTCAAGGTGCAGTCCTCCCCCGCTTCGCACATGGAGTTCCCGCAGCAGTCGGTGCTCGTGCCCGTCACCACGCACTGCCCAGCTGAGCAGCTGGACACATCGCAATCGCCGCCGCTGGAGCAGGTAGTGCCATCGGCCGCCAAAGGGTTGGAGCACGTGCCGGTGGCGCTGTCACAAACTCCAGCAACATGGCATTCATCGATGGGGGAACAAGTCACTCCCGCGCAGAGGTCAAGTGTGGTCGTTGTGGTGGTTGTAGTGGTGGTTGTGGTTGTTGTGGTGGTTGTAGTGGTGGTTGCGGTCGTTGTGGTGGTGGTTGTGGTGGTGGTGGTGGTTGTGGTGGTGGTGGTGGTGGTTTTGGTGGTTGTGGTGGTTGTGGTGGTTGTGGTGGTGGTTGTGGTGGTTGTGGTGGTTGTGGTGGTTGTGGTGGTTGTGGTGGTTGTGGTGGTTGTGGTGGTTGTGGTGGTTGTAGTGGTTGCGGTGGTTGCGGTGGTTGTGGTGGTTGTGGTGGTTGTGGTGGTTGTGGTGGTTGTGGTGGTTGTGGTGGTTGTGGTGGTGGTGGTGGTGGTGGTGGTGGTGGTGGTGGTGGTGGTGGTGGTGGTGGTGGTGGTGGTGGTGGTGGTGGTGGTGGTGGTGGTGGTGCTGGTGCTGGTGCTGGTGGTTGTGGTGGTTGTGGTGGTTGTGGTGGTGGTTGTAGTGGTTGTGGTGGTTGTAGTCGTTGTGGTAGTTGCCACCGTGGTTGTGGTCGCCACCGTGGTGGTCGGGAGGTTTGCCCTTGTGAGGCTCAGCATGGCAGTCATTGCGCTGGTGGTGTCAATGCTGTCCACTGTGACAGTGACCTCGCCATCCGGAGAAGTCCAGCTCTGGCCTGCCGCAAGGGTGGCCATGTGCCAGGTCCCCTCATAGTCACCCTTGTTCCACTTCTTGATCTGGACGTTGTTCAACCAGGCAGAATTCATGAATTTGTCGTAGGCGTGGGCTGTCTTCAGCTGGATCCAATAGGTTGTCACCGTGGCCACCCAGTCTGTGGTGATAGAGATAGTTCCGTCCTTTTGGAAAACAACTGGGCCAACTACCTCTGTCACCCCATGCCTGGTCTTCCTTCCATGACCCCCCAGCCGGGCAACATCCGAAACCGGGTCCTCGTACAGCGACATGGACCGCAGCGCCACACCCGTCAAAGGCGCAACGAAGTTGGCCGCAGTCAGCTCCATCAAAGGCGTCATCCACCCGAGCTCGTAGGCGTGGGGTGCGTTGTAGCAACGTACGGAGCAGCAGTAGCCTTCCCGGAGAGAAAAAAAAATCAGGGCCCCAAGGCTTTCATATGTGGCTTCCTTCTGTCATGCTCTAGCCTTCAGCTCACAGGTGTCACATGGCAACTCGGCCAGTGCACTGCAAAGGCAAGCCTACAAACCTGCTGAGCTGGATGCTGAGTCCAGTCATTCAGAAACCGTAGGTCCGTCTACCAATCAATCAGCCAACCCGCATGCCCCCCCCCCCCAGCTACCAGGGCGCCCATGGCGCAACTGTAGTCCGCGTACTGGTTCCCCCCCTCCACGCCCGCGTGGCCCATGCCCAGGTTATGCCCCAGCTCGTGGGTATAGTCCTACGGCTTGGCCGCTTGGGGCATGAAGCTAGATTCAAAATTCAACTTGGACTATCGCGCGGGCCCAAATGAATCCAGTGTGTCGTTGGTGGCGGGCTTCCTGTTTGCTGCCGGGTTGCGGGGTGGGGCTTCGGGGTATTGGCAGATCAGCGCACCTTTGCCGGCTTTGCGCTTGGGCCAATGCCATTTTGTCCATTTGCTTCGGCTGGAACGGAGTGACGGCTGGTGTCAGCCAGAGTGGCTGCGACCTGGTGCAGGCTTGGTGCCCTTGGTGTGGGGAGGGTACGCCTCACGAGGGACACAAACTGATTCGGAGCTGCGCTGCGCGGCGTTTCTTCTTTGATTTGTCCCATGCCACCCATTTCTTCACTGCCGCCCTGTGCCATATCCTTGCTGAAATGTGGGGCTGAGACATCTCATATTTGATTCTGAAAGGTTGCTTGGCCACACCAGTGCAGTGTTCAAAAGCTGTGCACTGTCCACCTTGCCCAAGCTTTGTTTCGGAAGGGTTGCCAAAACAATGATATTTGCAGCTGTCTATCCGAACACATTGGCTACACTATTGTTGCGCGCAGGGCAAAGGCAGCGATTTCATTTCTGTGCCTCTTGAACGAGCTGCTAAGGGTTGTGTTTGTGTGTCGCCAACTTGCTTGGCGGTTTCCCAAACTCAGATTTCCCTGACACAATAACAACTTGTTTGCAAGCAAAACAACTTGCGTGGTTGGACCTGCCCGTTTCGAAGCTCGCTTCCAAGCATTCGATCTTGACACATGCGCTGAAACTGCTTTGAAGAATGGCGGGTGAAACAAAAGTCTGTTTTGGTAGGATTCTGTTTGAATTATCCATGCTCAAATTCGGATTCTGGTTCTTGTGTTTCCCATCTGCTCACCAGTCACCTCTCTATTTATTCTATTCTCCAACACCTGTGGTTGTACGTCTGCTTTTGTCACAAACTTCCCCTTACGTGTCTGGTCATCCGATCATCCTGAAGCAACAAAAGCATCTCTGCCGCAGTGAGAGAGCAGAATCCACAAAATGTCAATTCCAAAAACCACAGAATGGGGCACCGAGCTGTAACATCGCATCCTGGTGCTTAGCGGAATAATCCGTGGGGATCCAGGAGTAGCAGTAGCTGGAGGAGCAGCCCACCTCAGCACACGAAAAAGAGCTGCTGCCCGATCTGTGTGTGTATGCGGCTCACCTCTACCCTCTTGATGTCTCTTTGCAAGGAGTCCACTCAGGCCAAATAGAGCATAAAAGACTCGTCTCTGAGCCAAGCCATCCAGTCCGGGTGCTCCTGAATACCAAACCCCAACATGGAATCTTAATGTGATCAAGACACGAGCCACTCTCAACACAAGAATCATCTGTCTTGGCGACCCCCCTCAAACGTTCTCCCCTCTACCTCACATCAAAAAAAGCAAAAGCCTGCCTGCCAAAACTCCCCCTTCCGCTCTCAAAGTGTTGCGGAATGCCGCTCTTGGCAAGGCGCATTCCCCAGTCCAATGAAGTTGCAGTTGATCACGTCCCGGGGAAAGATCAAGATCCAGTGCTGCCAGTTGCTCCGAGAGAAGCCTGGCTTCGTCTGTGCAAAGAGGTTGAAGGCGTACCGGGGCCAGCCGTAGTACTCTGTGCCCGTACAAGAGTTGGCAGCGTCGTAGTTGCTCCTTTCTTCTGGCCGAAAGGCCGAAAATGCGCTGCTCAAAGTAGGGAGCCCCTCCAGAATAGAATGGTTTCAAGCGGAATCCTGCAACAGGCAGCCAGTTGTCAACTGCCAGTAACTCCGATGACCAGCAAGAAAAGGTCAGGACTGATTTCCATCTAGGCCGACAAGTTTCGGGCAGAGGGCGTCGGTGGCCGTGTCGCAGGTGATGGGAATGTCCGCATAGAAGATGTCGGCGCCTTCGCCGGAGATGTCCTGGTCCAGGTCATTGGCGGCGCCGTCCACGTCGAAATCCAGCTCCAGCTGGCCGTAGGAGCACTCCTTCCAGGTGCTCGCGTGGGTCTTGCGGACCGAGGAGTCGAAGTCCCCGTAGAGCGAGTTGTTCACCCCGACAGCGAAGCTCTGGCGCTCCGCCGCCGTGTCCATGGCCGAGGGGATGAGGTTCCCAGCAGCGTCCAGCCACCGGATCATGAGCACCGCGGCAGTGCGCACCCCGGTGCTCTGCAGCAGGCTGGGACTGTTGGGACCCTTGGGACCGTGACCCCTGCCGCGCCCTCGCCCAGGGCGCACCTCGAAGGAGTTCACCCGCAGCTTGCGCCGACCCTCACGATAGCCCCGCACCGTGGCCTTGTCCCCGGTCAGGGCCTTGAAGCCCCTGGCGCCCCGGAGGTCCAACTCCAAGTCGCCGCCCGGGGCGTGGCACGTCACCTCCTGGCGGTCCGGGCCCGTTTCGAAGTCCATCTCCACCACGCTGAGGTCGCACTCCAAGAGCTCCTCCGGTTGCTCCGTGTTCAGACCCTCATGCTGGTGCTGGTCCACCGCGGATCTGGTCTGGAGCAGGTGAGGCCCCTGAGTACACACCTGAGGGACAAAATGGATCTCCGAAAATGCGTCCAACTGTTTCAGGGGCAATCACGAGGCAACTCTGAACAGCCGCCTTGTCTTTGCAGTTTCCTGCTGCTGCCAGGGAGATCGTGGCAAAGAGAAGCACCCGCGCGAGCATGATGCGCCAGGGCAGAATTGAGCGTGCCTATGGAATTGAACGTGAGAAACGCGGCTGCAGACGGTTCTCGCTGGCTGGCCAATTGCATGCATATTATAGTCGATGTCTGAAAGGAGCACGCCCTGTTTAAAGTAAGAACATGCCAAATCAGTTGTCAACAGTGTCTCCAACTGCTAAACTGGTTGGCAGTCGGGTATTGCATTTAGATGACCAGCCGGCCAATCAGATCAGTGAGTGGTCCATCCAATAAATCATCGAGTGCCTGAAAAGCCCGACGGAGGCAAATGTGAATCTGATTTTTCGTGACCTTCTCCGATCTTCTGGCTTCCCACGCCCCACGCACATTTGGCTCGAGCTTGGGGCACCCCGAACATGCTTGCTCTCTCTATCACTTTCCGGTCAAAACCAATCAGGAAACGACGGGAGCCCGGGCTCACGTTCGAATTGGGCGCCGGGCGTCGATCACCGGCTCCGCGCACAGCGCCGTGGTGAGGCCCCGGCCCACCGCCAGGTTCGCAGGCGCCTCTGAGGCCGTAGGGTTCAAGTGCTTACCGTAAGCTCGGGTTCTCGCTTTCACTCAGCCTAGAATCGTGTGTCTTGTTTGCTTGCCTTTCGGTTCGTAACTCAGCTGTATGACAGCAAGAGCGTTCACTTTAGGGACTGCACGCAGCATGGCCAGTCAAACACTCACAGCAGTTTCCAACATCTTGGTCCCGGCACACGCTTTGGTGCTGCAGCCCCGTCAAGAGATACTGTAGCACTTCTGCATGCGTGACACTACTTCACAAGCCGGCAATGCAAAAACCTTTGCAAAACCGGCTTCTTGTTGCGATTGCGTTTCTTGCTACTTTTGCAAGCACTGTTCCCTGCCCTGCTGAGAAAGCTCAAGGCAACTCTGGCACGAAAAGGCCTTGGAATCTTTCGATGCACCCGTGGCCGAGCCAAACACTGGCACTTGCTGCCTGTTTGCCGGTCCCTCTTTGCCCCTACATGCTTTGTCAGCGTTTGAAGTGCTCTGGCCTCAAACAGCGTTGCGAAGGCAACTCGCTTTTGCAGAATGCGGCGCGAGTGCCGGGCCCATTCTGGGCTCTCCCACATTGCAGCTGCCAAGCTGCTTGCACCCGCTGAATTAGAGCGGTGAAACAGAATTAGGCGAATTACTTGGCTTGCACATCCTTCCTCGCCTTCTTCTGCGGCGGCATTGCGACCCGGTCATCCTCATCCCGAATGGCATACCTTGTCACAGTGGAGGTGCCGTCGATGAACCTCGTGCGGAAGAGCACGTTGGCGTGATTGAACATGCCCTCCTTCAGGGACACAACGATGAACTGCGAGTGCGGAAAGTGGGTCCGGATCATGTGGCCGATGTTCTGCGTGTGGCTTAGGTCCAATGCAGAGTCGATCTCATCTAGGATGTACCTGCGTGCCCCTGTTACCCTTGTGCTTTGGTGGAAACATACCCGCCAATCCCTGTTGATCCCCACAAAGCCGACATAAGTTTCTTCGCTCGCCCAAGAGAGCCTTCAGCTGGCTCAAAGAGGGCTGCCTTCAGAAATCAATACACAACGAGCATAAAGGAGGCATCCTATGCAAAGCAAAAGTCAAAGCCCATGAAATCTGAAGAAAAGCTCCAAGCATTGCAAAGCAAGTTGGCAGAAAGCTAAAAGCCAAACCAAAGCATACTGATTCCTCCCTCAGTGCCTCTCCCCCGAAAGCCGATCGCTTCCCTAAGAAGAGTCGCTGCAAGCTTCTGCTAGGGAAAGGAAGCTTCAACGTGACACTCTGTCTCATGCCTGGACACAAATCCCAAGCCAAAAGCTTGAACACATCACCCAAGCCTTTAAAACAAAATGAGACACCACCACTCAAGATCCCACCAGACAATCAGGGCCCCCGCATGGGCGCCGGCTTGAAGAGCAGCAGCGCCAGCACCAGCGACAGCGCCAGCAGCGAGCGCTGGCCGCCGCTCAGCTCCGTCAAACTCTGCTTCCAGGCCCCGTGGAAGGCCACCTCTCGACCCGCGCGGAGGCTCCAACCACCCCTTCCACCCCTTCCAACCAAATTCCGACCGGATTCCAACCACCCCTTTCTTTCGGCTTGAAACTTTCGGGTTAGGAACCTTGAGGAAGCGACCCACTGCTTTCGGTCCGTGTGATTATTTTGTGGATGCGCCCTTTCCGCGGTTGAATCCACTGAGCTGCATTAAGTAAGGTGTGACCTTTTGGAAGCAGCACTGCTCCAGCCAACTTAGGATTGAAACGACTTCCAACTTCGTAGTTTTTGCGCTGTGTAACAGGCAACCTTGCAGGGAGTCCATTCAGAGTGGGCAATGAATGTCTTCACCATTTCAAGGATTGGGCGTGGAAGAAAGAGATGTCATCCAGAAATTCAACATTCATATCGTGAGGATGGAAGAGGTACATAGCTATGTTCAGTTCTGGGATTACATTCCGTTGACTAAATATTGAAAAACAAAATGTCTTACTCCCAGAATACATGTGTTGTCTGTCTTCATTGTTTTCTATGTTAGTTTATTGGATGGTCTCAGCCATTCTTCTCTTTTGATCTCAGGAACAGCTTTGACTAGAGAATGAGATGAGAATGGAGACTGGAATGGTGGCATCGTCTCCATCTTTCATCTAGGAAAATGGACGAGAGAGTAAGAGAGAGGTGAAATGCTCGAGGTCTATGGGCTCCAACTCTGCAAGAAAGCGGACGACATCCAGGGGTGGGTCAGAACTGAGCCCAACTACGATACCCATTTGCCCACGTGGATAAGTCCCAATAGGGAGCCTCTCTAAACGAAAGGAGAGAAACGGAAGTACACAGCTTGGCTGAAGCCCCTCTAGTGGCCAAGCGTTTAAGGATTCTGATTGCTCAATCAGCCTGAAGCCAGACAAAACTTACAAATGAGAATCGATAACAACTAAGGCCTTCCAGGACACAAGGAGAAACTTTATACAGGCTGAGCACAATCTGAACCAAAATCTACAACCCTCTTCTGAAGGTCCTCGACACTCCTGGCAAGCCCCATGATGACCCATCACTTCACACGAACCAAAAAGAAGCAAGCATGATCCTTGCTCCGCAGCCTTTGCACCTTTGCCAAAGGTCCCACAGCACAAGATACTCGAACTCAGACAGCCAGACTGCCCACGTTTTGGAGAGGCAACATATTTTTCCGCCAGCCTTTTCGGTGGCCACTGTTTGAGGGAGGCCAGTGACACAATGATTGAATGTTTGCCTGTGCGGGCTTGTTCGCCAATTGCCTTTTTGTTGTGCTCCTGAGCATCAGAATGTTCCAACCCTCTGGATTGACATGGTTGAGAAAATAGCCCTTTCTGTGAAATCCCTGAACTGAAATTGCCCCGTCGAATGACCCGCCCTGAAACTGATAAGTTCCAATGGCCATGTGGGGATGTCTCAAAAATATGATCCCCCTGGTGCCTACGAGTAAGCATCCTCTATGGAGACACTCACAATCCCAAAGATTCCACGGGATGACTCGGGCGGGCCTTGATCTCCAGGCCTTCGGTCTCATCCATGCCCTGGGGCGGCTCCAGCTTGGCATTGGTGTTCGGCAGCAGCGTGCTGAAGATGGAGTCGAAATCCTGAACCGCAAAAAAAACGAATGGGGAACCCCTGCATTTTTGTCTTTTTTGGGTCTATGGCGTGAATTCGATTTCCACCACCAACACTTCAAGCCCGGCCAGACGTTGACAACTTGAGCACGACGCACACCTGGTTCAAGGGTGCTGCTTGGCAAAAGGCTCGAATGCTGTTCGAGTCCCCTGCCTTGTTCACCTTCTTCCAAGTCCGGCGGAGCGTCTCGGTCTTCTTTTCGTCCAAGTCCTTAGGGCAAAACCACACTTGGTCAGAACAAAACTGGGTGAATCAGCCACTGGTTCTCAACCGTCAAGAACCGTCAAGTACCCTCAGCGTTGCCCAGCGTCCTTGATCACCTTCTCAATCTTGCCCTTGTCATTCAGGATGATGTCTCGCCTGGACAAGAGCTCCTCACGGGCAGAGGCAGCTATATCAGACACACTGCAGAGCTGGCCAAGCTTTGAAATGCCGCCCTCAGCCAAGACTAGCTGGTGAGGTCTCCTGGTACTCCTTCTCGGCCCTCTCAAACATCACCATCGCCTTGGTGCGAACGACTCCGTTGATTAAAGGCACACGCAGCCTTCAAACACACTTGAGCCAACACATTCGGCGTGCGGCGCCTTCTTGTTGATGTTCTTGCCCAGCTTCTTCTGCTCTGAGGTGAGCTGCTCCAGGCGCGCCTTGCTGTCCTGGTACCGGCCCCCCTGGAAGTCGAAGTCCGTGCCCTTCTTGCCGAACAGAGCCTGATGCTGGGGGGGGAGGGGTGGTAGAGGTTCAAACACGCAAAGTCCCAGAACTCCGAGTTCTGCTGACATGCAAAGGGTGTTAAAAAGTTGGGGACCCCCTCCACGGCTTCGATCCTCTTCAAGCTGTATCGCATTCTATCCTCTTTGTTCCACACACAACACAGAACATGAAAGCTCCGCCATTCTTGGGTTGCAAAAGCAGGCACCTGACAATCCATGTGTCTTGGTTTGCAGTTGAAGTCGTTCTACGACTTGCTCATTCAGTCAACATCGCCCTATCCTTCACACCTTTGTCACTCAACACCCCACAAAGCATTGCTCTCCCAGCTCGACTCGGAGCCACCACCCCAAGCACCAGGAGATGCCTTAGGAAAAGGGCAACACCTGCGATCCGTAAGGAGAAACAACCCCCCGTCTGCAACTCCGAGCCCTGGCCTGCTCCTTCTGGATCCATGGGTGTTCCTTCTCCATGCGCGCCACCACGATGTGAGATTCCTTGTCGTCCTGCCATGCCGGTCGAAATCCACCCCTGACCCAAGCGAGCAAGTGTTTTGACTGCACACACAAAAGGGGCCGGGAGAGGAAAACCTCTCAACAGTGACCGTCCAAACAAAGGCTGCATGGCGCCAACGCGAATTCTGAGGCATACCCGAACGCAAAGGAGATCGAGCCTTTGCAATTGACCAGGTCCCACTTCTCCCCTGTGGAGGGCACTGGACCCACCCACGAAACCCTTCCCCTCAGGCAGTCCTTCTGCAGCTGCTGGATCTTGTGGGTCACTCGCTTCTGCTCCAGCTCCTGCAGGCCAGAGCTGAACCTTTCTTGGGACAAATGAGGAAGCCCGGTCTGGAGCTTGGCAGTCTGCAAGTCCAAGGAAACCTGAAAGAGCTCGATAAGACTGCATCATCCCTGCTCGATGCGGACATCGACAATCCGCGACGGCTTCATCGACGCCCAGGTCCTTCTCTTCCCTCTTCTGCTTGTTGCGACCAACCTCCTCCGCCAGCTGCCCTAGAGACTCATCAAGGCTCCTCAGCTAGAGGAGCCTTGCAGCCCCTAACAAAGGTCTGGCCAACCCCCTGGGCCCATTATGTGACCAGTGAAGCCGAATGAACAATTCCACCCACAACAAGCGGCCAAAACCTGAACGGTGTGACCTCACAACTCCCTCTATGGCACTTTGCGGGTGCTGCATCCCCACAAAAGAAGAGAGAAAAACATGAAATGGCCCCAAAGTGCTGTCCAAGACTCTGCAGCTCCACCCTGGCAAGGGAGCAAGGCTTGGCTTCAGGTTACGACACTCTCCGCACCAAAACCCAGCTATTCCCCTCATCATCCAGGGTCCAAAAGGACTAAAATGGTTGCAAAGTTGCTCCCCTATCTTGGAGAGGTCATGACTGACTTGCCCAATGGTGAATCCTTGAAGTACGCTCATGGGCACAAAGTATGTATCTCGTGGGTCGAATGCCTGTACCAAAACATGATGGCAGTCACAAAAACACCCAGCCCGACACTGGAGAAGACAGAACAAAGCTCAGCTGTTGCAAGCCACCCGATCCGCTTCTTCAAAGGCCTCATCCTAGCGAACCCAAATGACCAAAGCTTCATGCTCGCCCGCTCGAGCCTCATGGCTTCCAGCTGGCTGCTCGTCTGCTCATGGGACGCCTGCCAGAGATGCATTTGCACATTCTGCAGCGAGTGCTCTCGCCTTCTTCTCCGCCAGGGACTCCGACATCTGCTGCATCTCGGCAGCCAGGGACTCTTGGCCGCGGCCGCTGTCCTGCCAAGCCCGGTCGTTGTCAAAAAGGCGGAGCAACCACTGATGCAGGTTGCAAACAATCCTGGACCAGGCAACAAAGCAGATCTTAAGCTTGACCTGTAAACATGCCCAAGAGCAGTCTGTCCTTGTCACTGAGGACTCCAGATTATCTAAATCTCCGGTGCCCAGCGTTTGCAGCCATAGCCAAGGAACAAGTGGTGAACCCAGAGTGAGGCATGGGCCGGTCATTTGAGACCTTGACGTTGACGTAACGAAACAAGGACGCAAATTTCAGCATGCCCCTAGACCAAAGGGGCCCCTGCCCCTCCCAAAGGCCCCAACCGCTGGCGAGAGTCACCGGCGGTCGAAGGTCCTGGTCTTTGCCCTCCATGGCTGACAACTCATTGCGCAGGACTTCCACCTCCACCTGCACCATGCAGCTGGAGGTTCAGCGAAGCCGCATCAAACCAAGAAGTGGAATGAGAGAATCTTGATGGGCATGGATTTATGCGTGTCCCACAGGGCAAACTGAAAAGGAGAGATGAATGTTGTGCTTTTGCGTTTACCTGAAAGCACGCGAGCCAAGGATGTCAAGGTAGCGCTAGGTGACAAATTAGGATTTGTGTGCGTGTGGGTATCAAAACAAAGGAAGGCATGAGCTTGCTTCAGTGACAAGAGAGGCAAGAAAAACTGATTG